GGCTGTACGCGTGTGGCATGGAGATGGGGTGGAGAGGAGAAGGATCTTGGTATGCGAGTTGAGTAGAACGGAATCCGTATTTCTTGCTATTAAGGAGCTGGAGGAGCGTGTGTTATAAAATTACATTGACTGCTGCGTGGTGAGCTTCTCTTTCCTCTTCTGTTCGCGGCCATGGATGGTGCGCAGAATCTCAGCGTCAAGAGCTCTGAGATTCAATGGATGGCATAGGTACGAGCTGCACGGTTCAGATCACAGAAGAGAACAATGCATGATTGGTTGAGGAAGAATTCATTTAATTTACGGTAGCTAATGACTGTACAGAAGAACGAACCAGCCCCATGTGTATCAAGACGGAGGAAGCAGTCAGCAAGAGCAGAAGAATCAGGAACGATTAGACCTACCAATACAGAGAGGAGAAGAAGCAGAGTGGTGAATTGGTAGAAACACTCACGCCACGAGAAGGCTTCACCGTGTGAGCACCCTGCCGTTCAGTCAATCTGCAACACCCAAAATACATACCTGCCCTATTGATCCCCCGAAACGCACCTATCGCCCGCATATCCAAAGTTGTTAGCAATTGATCCCTGAAGAAGACGATGAAGGAAGGAGGAGAAAACACCACGACCGCAGACCAGAGGGGAGCAGACTGGATCTCTTCGCCGAAGCTTGAGGCAGCCTAGTCCTACTACCACAAACCTCATAGTCCCGATGGAATGGCAATTAAAGGGCAACCCGTAATTACTAACTCAACGAGTGACAGGAGCTGCCACCGTACCCTCAGCACTAGACTCGAAGTCTCATGTAAGAGGTTGGTGTTCAATTTGAGACTTCGTGCAGCCAGACATCGTTATACGTACTACGTACCGGAAGGGTGTTGGAGTGAACGGGAAGAATGAGGGGACTTACTTGTGGTGGCAGCAACGATGATGCCGTGTGGTGGTAGTGCAGGTGTTGGTTGATGAAAAGATGGATGAGAGAATGGGTGGCGGTGGTGGTTGATGAAATGAAGTTGAAGAACTTGTTGTAAGATATGTAGGAGGGATGGAGGGAGAGGGGAGGAGAGGGAACTTATATACTGCTGGCACGATGGCGAGTGTGTGCGCTACCTTAGGTTCCGATCTTGTGAATGAGCAAGTTCTTGAAAAATTAGTCATGTCGTGGGCTGGTGGTGGTTGGCGAAAACGGCAAGAGCCCACCCGCGATGCTGGTGGGTCCAAGACGGAGAATTTCTCCATGCATGCGTTCATGAGTATGATTGAATTGCAAGGTGCATACGCCCATGTTGACTACTGGCTAGACTCAAGTATAATTAAAATTAATCTAGATCTCTGCCAGATTCACTTTTCCCCAGAGCAGAGGCATGCGGAAAACTCTATTGACACTTGAAAATTCTGCGCCATACAACCATTTCGACCACTTCTTCACACCTAAACTTCTACTCGCCCACCATGTCTTTACACCCTCTATCCATTCTTTTCTGATTCGGCTTCAATGATATTTCGCTTTCCTTGTGGATGCCAGTAAAGAAAGGGGACTCAGCCTCATAAGCGAGTGGCGCAGACCCGCTTTTAGGGCGACGTCTGTGTAACAACGGAAGGAAAGGACCCACGGATGGACATCTACCCAGGCACAAACCAAGGTTCCGAAGTATATTTTGTTGTAATCATAGATATGTGCTCATACATACTCATCCACGTGGGCTCATCTTATTTTTATCGTGAAAAAACTCCAATGCCCTTTGTTTACTTTCTCAATCCTCAATTATATGTGGGGCTCCAAACCGTAAGATATCTCCAATCTCACGCTTGAAATCTCTGCACTTGATCTAAGACATGACCTGCATATTGACGGGCGCTTGTGAGCCGTCAGACCTGCATGTGCGGGGTATTCAGCCTTGTTTTGGAATCTAAAATGATACCATCACCATGTCTGTGTAACCACTAGTAATTCACATCTTCATGTCAGAGATTGCAACCACTCACAGCGACCAGAGCAATCTGGCTTTTAGATATACTGGAGATTAAACCAATGAGAGTCATAGACGGGAAGTTCGATTAAATTGCAAATGGATCCACTGCGATATCGCTGCCCCCATCGCCGCCATCATGATCTCCAAATGCGGTCATCCTCCTGCTTCTTGCAAGAACAGCTGTTCCGTTCCGGTTGCTATGCTGAATAGCTGCAGTCGAACGATAGCAACGAACGTGTATAAGAATCCCCGCTGTTGACCTTCCTTTGCTCTTTTCTTCTTCTTTCCTCAGTAGCCCATCTATACCAATTTACAATGTATTCTTCGGCTTATCCCTTGACTTTTGTCTTCAGAGCTTCACCAACTCTATTTTCAGCAAGATCTACCCAATCTGCATCATCTGCAAAAGCTTTCGAGTTCTCTCACCAAGACTCACAATTTTCCCCTACTTCCGACCTCAACAAGATGGACTGCGTCCTTGCTTACGCTGCCATTGGCCTTCTACTTGGCTTCTCCTTCATGTATCTTTGCCTGCTCGGATACTCTGCCGCTACAGCCGCCATTGAAGAAGCCCTCATTGAGCCAGTCGACGAGCCTGACATCCTGCCTGTTGTCCCTGCTCTCGACCACCTTATCGACCTTGTCAACCAGCTTGACATCGAGTCACCAATCGTTGATCCCATCGCCAAACCCATCATCGACCCTGCCATTGACGATCTTGTCGTTTGCTTCTCGAAGCTTTCGATTCGCCAGTCGTGCTTCAAGGCCCCATTGACTTCCGCTACAGCCAATCATTTGCCTCGCGTCTATCCCGCAAACCGCCACCTTGGCCTCGTCCCAGCACTCAAGCCCGCACCCGCTGTCAAGAAGAGCCTTCGCTTCCGGACCGTTTCTGACCGCCCCGATGTTGACATTTGCGACATGCATCTTTTCGCAGTCGAAGAAGGCGCTCTCAAGCAAAAAACACCGGCTCAATCATGTTGTTCACACTTCATTGGTGCGAAGTTTGTTGTTTTCCCCGCCAACCGTGCCGTCTTGCTCAAGGAACTTGGAACTTTCGACACTCCAAAGAAACAGTTTCAATCCATTTTCCGTCCATTGTGCAAGACTCTTCGCCACCAGACTTGGTGCTCAGACTGTCACCGATGGCGCCATTCGGACAACAATTGGGAGACCGTCGAACCGGCTAGCCCAGCATCAAACCCAGTGAAGCTTTGCATCAGCCCACCCAAGCCTGAACGCAAGAAGCCTTTCATGTTCAATTGAAGCACCTTATGGTCGGTTTGCCTCAGGACCGTAAGTCTTCCTTCCTTCTCTTCCTTCCTTGACCTCGTCCTCTTCTCTTCATATCTAACCAACTCTCCCAGGACCCATGGGAAGGACGACTTCCAACCATCTTTCACGCAACTTATTGACGCCGCCTTCGTATTACGACAGACGATATCTTGACATGGAGGATTCAGTGAGATTATTGTACGATTATTTGTTTTCCTTTGTTTGTATGACTATTATGCTTTCGTTTGTTTGTCTGAGTATTACATTGTATCTGGGTGTTTCATGGCGGAGGATTGTCTCTCTTGCGTATGGATCGAAGGAAAGGAAGGAAGGCTTCGCGATTCACCGGGTGCCGCACATTGGCTTTCCAGTAAGTATCTCCACCCCCGCTGTCCACAATTCGAACAACAATACTCTCTAGTGCCTCCCTGTCGGGCTCAGACAGGGTCTCCTCACCTGGTGTGGGGGGAGCCCGCCGATTGTCCTGCGCCTTCATGTGGCGGCGGGTGTCAGTAGTTCGTTCTCATCTCTGATGGGATGGATGAAGCTAAGACAGGACAAACAATTTGTAGCTTTGACTTGATGATTGGGAAGGAAGTTGGTTTGGTGTGAGGAAGAATGAAATAAATGAATGAAATAACTTTTTCTGATCAAATGCTTGACTTCTCATGTGAATCTGTGATGATGTTTGGTTTCTATGATCATGTAATCTTTAATTGTCTCTCCGCTTGCATTACCTTCAGACTGTCCAGTAGCTACCATCCCCTCCTTTCTGCTCCTCTCCACATCCCCACCCTTTCTCCCTCTCCTTTCCATCCTCTTCTTCTCTCCCATCCACATACACACAACCAGCTATCTTTACTCTCATAATGAACGCGCTGCTCGAATTCAATCATAGCTTGCTTGCTGAATAAATCGGAACCGGGATGAGGATACGGATGTACGGAGTGCCTGGGTTTGTATTGAGTGATCATGACTATCTATCTAACCACGTAGGCTAGCATGCGTTCCTTGCCTTCCCATCCTCATGGTCGATTGCAGTGTGGAGAAGATTTACTTACGTCGGCTGTATATCTGGTATTTATTTAATCTATGACTACAACAACAGGAAACTTTAATTAACCGAGTGGCATTTCCGACAACAAGATAGAGTCTATCTATCCATGATCAGCTCTTACAATTACCTGATATTGCGGTTGTGTGTTGCTGAAGTGTTCTCCCACGGCCGTGAATCAATCAATCGAACGCCAACGTGTCGCTAACTGAGTAAGATGAGATGAGTTGTTATAGACTAGGTAGTGGGGTGCTCGAGAATTATCAGTGCTGGTAGTACAATACTGATTGTGTCGTAGAGGCGATCGATAGATAAATGTATAGGCTGACGAGTTTGGTGCATGCATGCTCTTGTAAGATGTCTCGAAATACGGCTTCGTTGATTAATTAGTGCAGCCTTGCTACCCGAAATATAGATAATATTTTTATACTTGACCTATGGGTTTGCTGCAGAGAACCCTGCTTGATTTCGTTGCTTGAAGATGAAATCATTGGCTGGGTTTGAAAAAGGGGGGTGTGCAGTTCAAGCTAAGCGCCGCATCGCGCCGCGCCGCGCCCCGCCATGCGTTCCTGGGCGCTAACCCCACTATGCCCCACCCCCACCTCGTAGTACTTCAACACTCTCTTTTCTCTTTTCATAATCAAGTTCAAACCCAACGCAGAACACCGCGATCTTTAAGGCATCACTGCTTGTCATGCCAACATGTCAACAACCAAACAAACAGCGAAAACTTCCGTGGAAAACCTACCCACCGCCCACCTCTCCGCCTTCAAGCGCACTCTGAGCGGAATCCTGTCCACAACGCTCGCAGAACGTACATTCGCGCAGATAATCGACGGTCTACCCACACGAGATGACAATGGATACTTCCCAACATACAGCACGGAAATTCGGGACAATACTGCTTCCTCTGCGGAAGCTATGGAGGGTGCACGAGAACTTCTTCGAGGACATATCAATGCATACACCACGCTAGTAGACGCAAAGGTCTGTTTAAACCCCCAGCCCGTTTAAAATAGGATACTGAGGGAGTAGATAGTTAGCACAAGCTTATCAGGATGCTCGACCAGGGTCTGTAGAGTTTTATCTGCGATTGTTGGAGATGCTAGCTGTTGCGTGCCACGATATCGCTGCTCTTGTCTACGGGGATACGCAGCCTGGTTTGCGCCGAGCCGGCCAGAGCGCCCAGGAATGTCTGGCTGCGCTTGAGGGTAGGCCGACGGATTTCATGCATGAGGATTATTGTGCGTTGCAGCAGTATCCGAGGGGGGTAGCAGATGTGGTGGGATATTAGGCCGAGTATCACTTATTCGGTGGCGTAGTGCTGTTTGATAGGGGGGGTTCTGGCACTGATGTGAGGAATCATCCCTTGAAATCCAGTGTGCTTCCTACCTGCTTCTACGTGTCTATTTCGTGTTTTTTGGGCTGAATAAACAGCAGTGCAAGCGTGCGTTCCTACATCCCGTGGGCGGATTCAGGATATTCCAAATTTCCTCCACCCATATTAAGAAATTCGCCGAATACGTACAAGCTTCCGAGGATACGCAAGAAGCACTGTTTCCGTTCAGTGCAGAAAAATATACATATCGCGTCGACCCGTTCGATGCCATGGCACTCAATATTTATCGGGACAGATATGAGCGGGTGATACCAAGAGATAGACCTACGAGATGTGTTCAGCGTCTTGCGGATTTTCCGGAATTACAGGACGCGCTGGTACAAATTAATCGTGACGGCTCTGATCAGTGATTAAAAAGGATTTCGGCGTTAAACCACCTTTGCGTTTACCATGAAGCAATGGAGCTTGCCATTGGGGTCGATAAATACGGCGCTGCGAGTGGGAGGAGATGAAAGAGACAGATCCGTGTTCTTATTCGTTGGACCAAGGCTCTTTCATTCGAATACCATCAAGAGGTAGTCAATTCGGTCGGAAAGAATGCATTAACCTGCGTGGTTGGCGCCCAAAACTAGAGCGCTATGGGATGATTGACACGAATGCGAAAGCATATCCCTTTGAAAATAATAACAGAAAAGGCGCACAACAAATTCCAGACCCTCTTCTCATGAGACTCCGGAAGCGAGCAAGCTTATCTCCGCAACTAGGTACTCGGGAGCTATCAAAAACTCCACTTCGCACATCTGACGGCGCATCTCGGTCTCGGGGCTATCTGATATGGGTCCCGCAGGATACATCACATCTGTAAAGTTGTACACAATCCGAACCATTGAATGCAAACTATTCATCAAGACTACGACCACCGGTATATTTACGACTCAGGGAACTCCACGGCGGTTGAACAACAATTATACCAGAACGCGAGAGACTTCTAGCCCAAAATTACGCTTGGTAGCTTTCGCAAAGAATCAGAGCTGAAGCGGTGGGGGCTTCCAAGAACCACTCATCGACATGCTGATTCGTTTCAATAACGATAATACTCTTGTCTTTACCAGCTTTTCTGTACAGCCTCATAGACTTCCCCCGTTATTTTTGCCCGTCGCTGAGCGCCGTTGAGTCAAGAGGTCGAAACTTTAGACTTGTTCTCAGATAGTGTTTGATTCTGTTTCTATTTCGAGTTCGATGCCAAGAGGTATATCATCACGACTTGCTCCTAACCTAAATCGCTCAGTCAGCAGAAACCAAGGTAGTCCTTGCCATCAAAACCGGGTTGGAGTCACGTGAATATACTAGTCCAAGATCAACGAATAAGGGACCATCTATTTGAAGTACCTACCCCAGTTTAAAATTCCGGGAAACCTTGAATTTAGAATCGCGGGAAGGAAATCAGGTGTTGCTATTCAGAAAGCGACAAATTCCGACGGTCGCCTGCCTGCCCATAAAAAAGATCAGTCCACAAATCTGACGATCTTTTAGCGCAGAACATCTCCCGATACGTAGGTATGCACGACATGCTATATGAATATATATTTTGAGACAGACCCTTTTCTGATATTTATTACTCAAGTTTCTAAGACAATTACGAGACAAGGTTCTCTAAATATCATATCATATCATATCTTATCTTATCGTATTTTACAATCACGGAGTACTATACTGTGTTAAAATCTGAAGTATTCGAGAGCTTAAATCCGGATCCTTCAAGATGCCGCACGCTCCCGCATCAACCCCCGCTTCACCTCCGGCGTCAAGTACGGCTCGACCGATGGAGCGTATGAAGCATATTAGCAGGGAGGCGTTATACACAGATCTGGAAGCACGTATCAGATATCTACACGACTTTCTCGATTTCAGCGGTAGTGAGTTTTAATCCTATTCCTACAGTACAACATTCTTTCTTTCTATATTTAATTTCCTCATCCAAATACAAAAGCAGTCGCCATAAACAGGAGCCAAAAACAGAAAGAAAGAAAAAATCAAAAATCAAAAATAGACTTACTAACTTCCCTCACAGGAGACATCGACGCCCTAGTCAGTGGCGCCAAATACGTCAAAACTCTCATCCCAGCCGTGGTGAACATCGTCTACAAAAAACTCCTACAGTACGACATCACAGCGCGCGCCTTCACGACGCGTAGCACGAGCTTCGAGGGCCCGCTAGACGATGTGCCAGAGGAGAATAGTCCGCAGATCTTGCATCGGAAGATGTTCATGAAGGCGTATTTGCAGAAGCTGTGCTCTGATCCATCGAAGATGGAGTTTTGGGAGTATTTGGATAAAGTTGGGTGAGTTATAGTTCTTACGCAGTCCATTCCATTATCTTACTTGGACTCATTTTCACTTTGATTTTAAATTTTGTAGAAGGAGAGAAAGAAAATAATACTGACAGAACCCCACCAGCATGATGCACGTAGGTCTCGGCCGCGCGCACCCCCTCCACGTAGAATACATCCACCTAGGCGTCTGCCTCTCCTTCATCCAAGACATCCTCACCGAAGCGATCCTGTCGCACCCACGTCTCCACCTATCGCGCAAGATCGCGCTCGTAAAAGCACTCGGCAAGGTCATCTGGATCCAGAACGACCTATTCGCGAAATGGCAGATGCGCGACGGTGCCGAGTTTACGGCCAACGAGGAGGTGGTTATTGAGAAGGAGGGCTATCTGCATGGCAAGAAGGTGCTGGATGATGTGGATGGAGATGAGGAGGAGAGTCCCAGGACGCCGACGCCGACGAAGGCGAGTGCGTGTCCGTTTAGTGGGATGGCGGATTTGAAGGTGGATGAGTCGAATGCTGAGGAACCGCAGGTTGCAAGCCCGAAAGCTGCAGATCCGAATGTAGCTCCCGATAGTCCAGCTCTGAAGACTTGAAAGAAGGGAAGGAAATTGTACCAGCATATTGTATAAACAGCTTCAGAACTCAAAATGAAGAATGAAGAATGAAAATAAACGTTCTTAATACAAACTGAAGGATGCCTATGCCTTGAAATATGGGGTTTGTGTACCCAGTATTATTCAAATATATCGTCCCTAGACGCCGAGCATAAAAACGGAGGCATTGCTTCGGGTCTTATTACTCCTCCTTAGACAGTCAGGAAATCAAAACATCAAGAACGAATCCGGCACGCATTAGCCAGTTTTAGGGCATAAGCAAGGTGCAGGAAGCCCCACTATCCCCAGACACCTTGTCCCGTTTAGCGATGGTGCGAACAGAAACTACCCGCTCCCGACCCCTATTCCGCCGTCTCGGTACAGTATAGTAGCAGCATAGCCATAACAAAGTCTTTCACCAAGGTAAGCAAGAGATGTTAATATATAAAGAGCAGAATCCCGAAAAAGAAATATTAGAATTTTACTTTCCACAAGCAAATCGCAGCTTCGTTTCATTTCATTGAGATTCCTTTCGTTCTGTTGCTACCTAACACAACAACCCCTCACGGATCCCCTCAACTCAACATGTCAAATCCCAAAGGCAGCGTCCTCATCACCGGCGCAAACGGTGGTCTCGGGAGCGCATTCGTCTCAAATCTAATAGCCTCCCCCTACGCATCATCCCACCGCGGAATCTACATGGTCCGAAACCCCTCTTCCGCCGCTGCCCTCAAGACGGTCCTCCAGAACGGGCCCAGGACACACGCCTCGTCGATAATCCCGCTAGACCTCAGCAGCCTCGCAGCGATCCGCGAACGCGCCGCTGAGATAAACGCTAAAGTGGCGGATGGGACGTGGGAGCCGATCCGGGCATTGGTTCTGAATGGTGCGTGGCAGGAAGCTAATGAGAAGACGTTGAGACCACAGACATTCACTAAGGATGGATTTGAGGGCCATTTTGCTGTTAATTATCTAGCGAATTTTCTATTTGTGCTGCTGTTGTTACGGAGTATGGATAAGGAGCATGGACGGATTGTTTTGGTGTCGAGTTGGAGTCATGATGCGTATGATTCGCGCAATGATAGTATTGCGATTTATAAAGACGATGAGTATAAGACTTTGTGGCGTGACCCTGAAGCGCTGTCAAAGGGTATTGAGTACCATGATAATGGTTATAAGGCTGGGATGAGGCGGTATGGAACGAGTAAACTATTACTTGTCATGTTCATGTACGTCCCATTCCTTTTTCATTGGCCAGATACTAACTCACCTAGGTACCAGCTCCAACGCAAGTTGTCCGCCGACCCAGCACTCTCCAAGATCTCAGTCCTCTCCCTAGATCCCGGTGCAATGGGCGGCACCGGCCTCTTGAGGGATAGTCCAGCTTTCATCCGTTTCTTGACCAGCTATCTTCTCTACTACCTGCAACCCATAATGGTATTGCTAAAACCGAATGGTAGAGCGCGCACACCAAAGAAATCAGGATATGATTTGCTGCTTGCATGTTTTGATGAGAAGTATCTGGGGGAGTATCCTAAGGCTGTGTATCTTGGAGGAAGTGAGAAGGCGATACCGAGTCTGGAAGCGAGGGATGATGAGAAGCAGCGGAAATTGTGGGTGGAGAGTCTGAAGTTTGCGGCGATTGGGGAAGGGGATACGGTGTTGAAGGATTTGTAGATGAAATGCGAATGTTGCCAAGCTGAAGCCGAGTTTCCCATGCAGATACGACGAGATGGCGTGCATCGCGTCCGGAAGATAATCAAATTCTGCTTCCCCGCGTTTGCACTCGTCAACAGGAGCTCACTCCACTTGCGCCAATACGCCCATTCTAGAATGCACTTTTGCAATGAATTCGACGGTTACGATGGTGGGATCTCCCAGCCTAGGAATAACACTTTGCACTTTTACATGCGCACATGATAGGTAGCTAGCTAGCCTTCGTGCTGCATGTGGTGGCGTACATTGAGCCAGGGTTCTCAAAATGCACTTCTGTCAGAGACGCTGAGTGGCTGGCTAGATCAGCATGCAGTCGGTTTTGAATACCCTACAGCCTCGTCCCTGACTTCCAAATTTCGTCCTTAAAACGCATATGTTCATTGACTTTCTTTCCTCAAATTGCTTTTCGATCATACAGATACTCCAAAAAACATCACTTGAAGCTCTTTCTCAATACGCAGCATTAACCATCATGTCGGAGAACGAAGATGATTGGCGCGAGGAAGCCCAACCTACGATCAAGTCCGAGGAACCTCTGAAATCCTCACGCTTGATCAAGAACGACCAGAAATGGGAACCCCTCAAGGAAAAGATCCGTCGCATTTATATGGTCGAGGATAAAACTCTCCCAGTAACCATGAATAAGATTGAACTGGAGCACGGTTTCAAAGCAAGGTTAGTGGTCGTCCTATGATATAATGAGCAATCTTTGCTAACCACCTGGAGTGTGCGCAAGTGGAAAAACAAACTTAAAGACTGGGGCTTCGACAAGAACATCCCTGCGCAAGATATGCAAATCCTAGTTGCAAAAGCGGAGAAGCGAGCACGAGATGACGGGAAAGAGACTATCTTCTCCATGGAGGGTCGGAAATTGGACCCCAGAGGTTCGAGAACTTTAAAAGGAGGAAGACGACCCAACTCGTGGAAGCTGCATCACCGAGTGCTGGTATGTTCTGAAGTGATGTGTTCGCTCGATAGGGCTAATAGGCATCAGAAACACCACCCAATATTACATACAATACACCAGGTCCACACACCGAGGATGGAGAAGAATTCGAGAACCTCTTGAATAACGTGATTACTATTGAATCAATAGATCGAGCTATTCATGATTTCGAAAGGAGGGATGCACCTGCTGATCAATCAAAACACCATAGCCAAAGACCTCACTTCTCCTCTGAACTAGACTCTACTCCCGAGAACGCCGCTGATGAAGAAGATTCCCACCCTAGCGTGTCAGCAAGTTTGGAAAACGATATGGCTCATTATATATCGCTGGATCTGGACCTGGGCGCTACAAAAGTGACCATTGGATCTCCAGAGGACGAGGACAACTTTCCTCACGCTGCTGAACTTGCCACATCCCTAGCGGGGAAGTCCATGTTCGCCGAGCAAGCCAGTCTGATGAACACCAGACTTGAGGAATTATCATTTGTAGCTTCCGATAACCTTCTCGGGCCAGATCGCGGCCACGAAGAAAGCCATACGCTAGATGACCCAGCGCCGCCTTCACCTCAACAGGTCAGTATGCTGGCAAGCGAGGACATGTCCCTAAACCGACCTTCCTACGAGTCGCTCTCTCACAAGCTAAAGTTCAACTTTTCTCCAATTTCTAGAGAGCAAATAAGAAGTTCACGAAGAAAAGTTACGGGAATCGAACGGGAAGATCACCTTGTGCTGGTGAGTGGATGCATAGCAAAGCAACCGCAAGGTAGCTCTTTGGATCAAGTATGGAGCTCCCGGAGAGCGCCCTTGGAATTATTCCCTGGATCGTCTTTGACTCTCAGATCCAGAACCAAGTGGTTGTGTGTTGTTCTTGACGATTTAGCTAGGATATACAAAACTCGCAGGGCTTGGGACGAAGCGGTATTTACCATACTTCTCCAGCGGTATGGGTACGAGAGCATACGAATCGAGACCCATGCAACAACGGGGTATTCTCTCGAGGAAAGAGAAATTAAGTATTTGACAAACATATGCACCCACAAGTTGGCTCGCATATTTGAGAAGAAAGGCGATGCACTACTAGCTCAAATACACTATCGAAAGGCACTTGACGGCTTCGAAACGGGACCGACGATTTTCCTCAACCCTCATGCCAAAGATTATCATCTGAAATGCCGATTGTCTTTTGCCGATTTTCTCCTCAGACAGGAAAAGAAGGACGAGGCGCGACACATGTACCTCGTTGCCATTCTTAGAGCCTATTCATCTAAGTCGGTCGGTGGAGCAAACAAAATATTACTAATCAAGGTATTTGCTGCGCTCAAAGAGTTGTTTATTCGGATGGAGCCCGAAGATCGTTTGGTAAGGCAACTCATGGTCCTTCAAACGTTGATATTCGGCGATTTGAATACTTGGTCTCTCGTTGGAAGAGCTTTTGCTCGCTTGGCCAATACTCTATCGGTGCTAGGAGCATTCAATGATGCAGAGCTGTTATACAAATCTGCATTACCGGACCTGGTGGTAAACTCATGCAGGACAGAAATGTTGAAAGATTATACATCGTACACAGAACATTGGCAGAGGCAGAATATGTGGGCACAAAGTTTACACCCTCTAGAGATAGCCTTCGGGTATTTGAATGCAAGTATCGACATTGACAGCAAAATAGACACGACTTTAGAACGACTTCTACATACAGCACGGATTCGATTACGCACAACTGATTCAATTCGTATAGAAGAACAACTCGCGCGTATTGAAATCTATCGCAAAACCTTCGCACATGAGCGCTCACAAGAACTCGGTCGACGTGTGATTCAGGAACGCAAAAGAGAAAGAGAGCAGCTTGGTCCAGCGCGCGGTCCTCCTCGCCGTACCATATCCAAACAGACATTCCTAGATGCCAATGATACCTCTTCTTCAACAGCATGGACTACCAGTACCCAAAGCTCCAGATTTGGTGTCACATACTCAGACTGCTCAATCACCGGTGTCAGCAACTCGGTTTACATGCACCCCTAAGACTCCGAAAATTCAGCAATATCTTCGCCCTAAAACATGCGCAATAACATGCAGAGAGATAACTTGATACATGAGGAGCGGCAAGTTCAGCTAGAAGAATCAAGAGATACGAGCTAACATTTGATCATTAGGCTTGGAATTTCTCGCGTTTTTGCGTGCCTCGACTTGAGGGGAAGTGTCAGTGGAGATGCGAGGACGAAATAGAAAGTAACAGGATAGCGAAATTCAGGATTTGAGCTACGTCCCTCATTCGAGGAAGGGCGGATGTGGATTGACGAGCAAGATTTGCGCTTGGGAATCTCATTGTTAGACATGACGGCTCGTTTCACTTCCAAATTATTTGTTCATCGAGTCTTCATTAGGATTATTGTGATCTGCGTAACCATACTGAAACATTACGTTTCTTTCGAATTTGTTCCTTCCACTTCCGATTCACTTCATACTGCTAGAACATGATGCCTTCTAGACAAAGACCCGGACGACTTCAACCTTCTGGCAGGTGGGATTTTGAGGTACCGCCGTCTCAGTTCCCACAACCCAAGCCAAAGTCTGGTACAGGTATCCGGAATCCGTGGTGCAAGCATACCAGTTGGAAAGAGCTTTAAAGGAGTAGTTTGGGAGAGGCTGTGTATCATCCACATTTCTCACAATTACCAACTTATTATCGGCGTCGAACGCAACCAGCTGGCCCTCCTCCGAAGGCTGCAACAGCGGGACGGCAACGTTCGAGGTTGGGACAGGGTCGAGCTGCATGGGAGAAGAGGTCTCGAAGTTTGCGCCGACAAGGAGCCATGTCAAGAGACCAGTGACGTTTACGCCGGTAGGTTCAGTTGCTTGGGTTGTGGTATAGTTGAAAGTGTATGAACCGGAGTCGCTGTTCAGAGGACCTGTGAATTCATCGTTAACATTGCCTGCTTGAGTTGTGGTTGTGGCCGAAAATGGACCAAAACAGGTGGAGAAGTGACATACCAGCAACACAGAGACCTTCGATACCAGCACCTTCATGACAGGAGCCGAGAGTAGAGCCATTAAGGGTAGTGTTCTGAGAGGTAAGAACGAGATTGAATGGGGCAGACTGGTTGGTGTAGTACTGTGCGTTGACTCCAGCTACGAAGGCCAAGGTGCCGGCGATAATTGTTCCACGCATGATTTTGGATTGGTGATTCAGTGGTTCGATAATATGGTTGTGGTTGTGGTTGATGGAGGTGTAAAGGTTTCCAGTATTGCAGATGGAGCGGGGTCACTATTTGTAGGATATGTGAATGCGTGAGACAAGAGGAAACAATAAAGGGAAACAACAACTGGAAACTTATACTTCTTGAGGCGCTCGGTCGGTCTACCAGGAATGGCAGGAACGACCTCTTCGTAAATTGAGCCGGCGATCATGACGTTGAAAGCCCCTCTTCTCGTATTAATAAAGTCGCTCAAAAAGGACAATGACCTGCAGAGGTCCACGAAGTACATGAAGTACAAATGTCCCTCATATAAATTGAGATCCTCAGATAAATTCAGACCCGCTAGATGACTTGGCAAACAAAACAAAACTGATCATTCATGAAGAAGCTCGTATTCCCTGAATATTTACCGGCAAATAATGTAATAATGTTTTAGCTGATGCGCCTTTTTGCGGGGTCCAGGGATCGCCATCGATGCATGAAAGCCGATCATAGGCACCAGCAAATGATTGCTTGGCATTGTTTCAGCGCTTCGGCGCGGCATTTCACATCCTTGCCGTGTGATGTGATGTGCAAATACTTCGTAACTTCGTACGGAGTATATCTGCACTTTTCCGCTTCCTGTCATACCACCAGTATTTCATCTTTGCATAAAATATAAAACAGAGAGGTTTGCAATTCATGCCGCCTGCCGACCTGTTCAGATCTTTCTGGTCATTAAACAAACTTACATCGGTGTAAAGACCTTGAAGGGTCCATTGTGCCGTTATTCTCCAGGGATTCAAATAGTCATCCAGAATCACATCCAGAGGCTCCATGCCAAACATTCAGGCATAAGCTCGTCTACTTCGTAAAGGAAGAAAAGGGTGGAGACATTGATGTAGTACTGTGGCTGTGGTGCCGAGAGTTGGTCGGTCAACGAAAAAAGCACTCGCTCACACTTCGATCAATGAGATGTACTCAATTGTTCCTTAATCCCCATTTCCTTCTGTCTTACGACTTGACGACAGATAATTTCGGTACCCGCTAGGCCCCATACACCGCATCATCGCCGGTCACTCGTGCATACACCTCCAAAAATCGTATCAACATACCCCGGATTGAAAGCTGGATAGCTGTCAAAGGTTTAAACAGCCTTCCTGTACGTCTAGAGACGACTGTTTGTCGTAGTGCTCTGCTCCTCCGATCAAACTCAAGCATCTTGCCGCGGGTGTAGAGGTCTTACTATCTGGCTGCGTACATATAGTATTTGTCTGCGGCTTCGCCCTGCGTTCTTCTTTTATAAGCTTCGTGGGATGTGCGGGTTAGATGTTGAGCTTCAAATCTTTCAACTGCCCGTAGCCATCCAACACGAATTGATTTGCATCAGGAGCAGGTATCGTTCGGTATGCGACGGCTTCGATGATCGAGGACCCAGCAGCGGAAAACCCAATATTCAGGAAGGTTCCGCAATGAGGGGAAGTTCCTCTAGGAAGTCTACTACCATGTCAATAGGCTTACTTTCTAGAATAAAAGAGTATACCGATCTCTACGCGCCTTGATTTGGAAATCAATTGGGGCTTATCTGACCTGCAGAATGCCCTGGGTTCCCAATTGTGTTCTGGACGAAGCTCCTCCAAGACTGGTACTTTGGTGCGGCCAGATCCGAGCAAGCAAAGTATGGAGGGAAGGGAAGCCCCCATCCTGGGCCATATTTGTCGACGCGGGGTGAAAATATATAGAAAAGTTAGTATGAAACACGCCAAGAGAAACGCGCTCTCGATACGGAGCACGTGATCGACATACTCTAAAACCCTCGTATTCTATTCTTCTGGGATGGGATCGGGGTTTCAACTTTGTACCGCTTGCGAGTCGCTTCCCTCAAAATCCTTTGGAATTTGATCATGCGTGCAGGCACTGCAGGGGCAGAATATATGACGCTAACCATGGACTTGGGACGATCCTCTATTTGAAACATCCTTCATATCCGGACCGTCCCCGCAACTTCCACAGGAAATTCCCCGATTGACGGGAAAGTATTTCCACCTCGTGCAGGATAAATTAATCACGTTTTCTCGGAATCATCCTAAGCATCCTATGGATAGTCCAGTCTAGAATCTATGGGAATGAAGGGACCTTTGCGGGTGCAAGCCGCTTATGGTTTCGGAAGCCTCGTGAGAAATTTGTTGCGTTCCATGTAAATGTAATTATGGATAGTATCCATATAATTGTTGTGTTATAACTTCTCTTTTCTTCTCTTCAAAAATCTTTGTTTTTTCTACAGACTTTCTCTTTTCACAGCGCCCAGGAGACGCCTATTCTCCTTACATTCGTTTGCAATTACACACAGTACACACTTGTTCATCCATTTTTATATTCTCTCTCTTCTCAGCAAGCCTGAGTTTACTTCAATACTCCAAGAATCATGTTCTTCAATATCTTCAAAGCCGTCGTTCCGGCTCTCTTTTTGTCTTCTGTAGCCCAAGCTGCTGCTCAGATAGACATCACCTCAGTGGGGCCCAAGACAGCTCTATCCGCAAAATCAAAGATTTGCAACGTTCTCGACTATGGTGCAGTTGCCGATAACGCGACGGACATTGGACCCGCTATATTGAAGGCCTTTAGCTCATGTGCATCCACTGGTGGAGCTACGATTTATGTGCCTCCTGGTTCATATTCAAGTTTGTTACTTACGGTCCAAGATCATAATTCGTTCTAATAAATATAGTTGCAACTGGTGTTACACTCAACAAAGGGAGTGCCTACGCTTTCCAAATTGATGGATTGATCACTCTAACGGCGGACGGAAGTTTCGGTGGAAACGCCATTGTTATCGAGAATGCTTCCGATGTTGAGGTCTTCTCTAGCAATGGCCTTGGAGCTATCAATGGGCAAGGATACCTCCACAGAATTTCAGGCTCCAGCCAAAACGCAAGACTGTTCCGTTTCATCAGCTGCTCGTACATCTCAATCCACGACATCATCTTTGTGGATTCACCTACATTCCATCTAGTACTCAACAGCGTCTCGAATTTGGAAGCATACCAGATCACGGTCCGAGGACCAGCTATTGGTGGAACTGATGGAATTGACCTGATATGTCTCGACAACTGCTACCTCCATCACATCGAGGTCACGAACAGGGATGAATGCATCAGTGTGAAGACCCCGTCAAACAATGTGTTGATTGAGGAAGTCTACTGCAACCAAAGTGGAGGCATGTCAATTGGATCACTAACAGCGGATGGTATGTACTTTTCGAGAAACGCAGCCCGATTCAACCATACTGACTTCTAAATAAGATGTAACAGCTGGTGACGAGGCGGCCGTCAGCAACATTACCATGAGAAACATTTACATCTACCAATGCACCGAGATGCTCATGATCAAGACTTTCCCGGGAGGAAGCGGAGCAGTAGGATACGTCAAGGACTCGCTCTTCGAAAACTTCTGGGCCTACGACACAACCTACGGTCTCGGTAAGTCAAGTCCTCTTCATTCCTACCGTAACCCAAACACTTCTCAACTAACTTTGTAACAAAAAGACATCGACCAATACTGGTACTCGCACACCACACCCGACACTGGCGCCGTTGCTCTCAGCGGCCTCACATTCAACAACTGGACCGGCACGGTCGACAACGGCGCGCGCGCGCCCCCATCGTAATCCGTGGCTCTGACATCGTCCCTATAACCGACATCTCGCTCACCAACATCGACATGTGGACCGAGAATGGGGATAAGATTCTAAACCAGTGCAAGAACGTGTACGGTACTGGATACTGCGCCGGAACATCTACCGCTTCACCACTAGCGACTTTCACCACCACTGCAACGACTACCGTGACGCCTGCGGGGTACACTTCGCCTACGAGCCCGGCGTGGGGTATCGCTGGCTATGGGACTACGCTTCCTATTCCTGTTTATACACCTGCTGCGTTCTGGGCCCCTGTTTCTTCGGGAGTGGTCAGCGCATCTGCAACTCCTACTGCTTAAAGCCTGCGCATATCTCGGTAGCATTAGAAGGTTGGGCTTCTGGTAGGAGCAAGATATGTTCCTTTCTTCTGTATATATTTACAACATTGTCATGAATGAACAATTTGCAATCCTCATTATTTTTGATCCAATGAACTCCTAATACATTTAAAGATAATCCGCAAAGTGTAAGGTTCACCAATTTCCGATAGTTCTGCTGAAAGAATTATAATAAATGACACTCGAGCGTCTCAGAAATTGTTCAGTAGAACGGAACAGATCGACTTGTGGAAACATGAGTCAAGCTAACAGTTATCAACGGTATATTTGCGAAGAAATTACGCCGCATTTAACAAATCTAGTCCAGCTAGAAGTAACGAGAAATAAACACTATCTTTACAAAACCAGGCCTTTGAAACATTCCGACAAAAGCCCACGTACATACAAACAGAAACAAGTCCCATCAACCCTCCTTCTTCACCTCAAAGCTCACAAGCTTACTCTTCTTCAGAATCGTCTCCGCAAGCGCCGTAATAGAATTACTGGTCAACAACTCCAATACCTGCAAACTAGCCTCCAACTCCCTCGTAATCCAATTCCGGATCTCAATCGCCACCAGACTGTCAAGTCCATACACCACAATTGGACGACTAGCATCCATTTCCTCCCTTGGCACCATGAGCACAGCGCTAACTTTCGTCATCAGGCCCTCACAAACAAACTCCAAAGCTTGTTCTTGCGATCTCGCGTCTTTGAGTGCAGAGGAAAGGGAGATGGCTGGTGCGGCTATGGAGAGATTCTCTGCTTCTGCAGCAGCTGCTGCTTTCAGGTACGAGAATTTGGCGTCATCGGCCCAGAAAGGCCCAGGCTGCCCAGGAACGATTTTGAGACCCGTGATGCAGTGGTTGTCGCAGTTGTCCTTCATGCGTCCCGTGATCGCCGCAGCAAGCAAGGCGAGAACTTCTTTCTCTGAAATCGTTTCACTGCCCATGTTCTCGGAAACTTGCGCTTGCCGATCTGCGTTTTCAGCTAGGTAGCCAACGTCGCTGACGGCGGTGAGGTCGATGCTAGAGGCTGGGAGACCGAGGCGGGCGCGGTATTGTACGAAGGCGTTAAGGAAGCAATTTGCGGCTGCGTAGGCTGCTTGTCCTCGGTTGCCGACTGCGCCTGCTGCTGAGGAGAGCGCGATGAAGAAGTCGAGCGGGATGGATGAAAGCGCGTGGTGGAAGTTCCATGCTCCTGCTACCTTGGGCTGAACGACGGCTTGCCATTGCTCGAAGGTCATTTTCTCGAAGAGAATGTCGTGCAAGACCATTGCTGCGTGGATTACGCCGCGGACAGGTGGCAGGGTGGATATGTCTTCTGTGATGAGTTTTTGGACTTGCTCTTTCGAGGTAACGTCGCAGGAGCGGACTGTAATTGTCGCCCCTAGGGCGGTGGCTTCTTCTATCAGCTCCGCGACTTTGCCGGTCGCGCTTCCACTTCGTGAGATGAGGACGACGCTTCGAGCTCCTTTTTCCATCATCCATCTGCTCATGCTACGTCCAAGACCTCCTGTACCACCGATGATGATATATGTCGCATCGGCTTTCAATAAGCTTCTCGGGGTCTTGGAAGGGATAGCCTAAGCAAAATTAGCATTGCAGTCACGAGTAATTGAGATACTGAGTACGTACCCTGACCTGATCATCGGGTCGAGGAACAATGACAATCTTTCCCATTGTCTTCCCACCCTGCAAAGTACGGAAAGCAGCTTCGACGCTCGAAATTGGATACGTAGTGATGGGTGAGATCGGCTTTACAAGCCCTTTGTTAATCAGATCGAAGACATCCGAAAGAAGCCTTTTCATGATCTTGGGACGTTCAGCAGCCACGACTGTCAAATCAACAGATGCAAACATGGCATTGTGCTCGAATCTGGACATCTCAAGACGGCTATTTCCAACGATATCTCGTTTGCCAATCTCGATGAAGCGTCCGAAATGAGATAGACTATCCCACGTCTCTCGAAGAAGGTCGCCAGCAAGAGAGTTGAGGACGAGGTCAACGCCTTGGCCATTAGTGGCACGTTGGATACCCTTCGCGAAGGATGTGTTTCGGCTGTAGAAGATGCGGTCTTCGGGGATGCCATACTCGCTCATTATAAATTGCTTCTTGGCAACACTGCCAACAGTTGCAAATATCTCTGCTCCAATCATCTGGCAAAGGATCATAGCTGCTTGACCTACACCACCAGCCGCGGCGTGAATCAGGACCATCTCGCCCTTGACTAAGCGACCGAGGTCGAACAACGAGTAGTAAGCAGTGCAGAAAATGACCGGAATTGTGGAAGCGTCTTCAAAAGAGAGTGTATCAGGAATCTTTTGTGCGCTAGTACAAAGACATCGGGTATACGTGGAATAAGCGCCCTCAGACATAGCGCAGACTCTGTCTCCCACAGCGAGATCGGTGACTTTGCTGCCGACAGCACTGATAACTCCAGCGCACTCAACTCCAATGTACTTGCTTGACAACTGGCCCATGGATATCATGATATCCTTGAAATTCATACTTGTGGCCTTGACCTCGATCTCGACCTCATATTCAGATAATGAAGTGTTAACAGTGGGGTCATCGGTGAAGTAAAGAGTGTCAAGTGCACCAGCTGTCTCAATGGCCATCTTCAACGGTCGCCCGTCCTGATGGAAAGGTTGCAGATCTGGTGCTGTAGTTGGCTGAGTTTCCTGCTGAACGAACTTGTTCATGTCAGGGTCATTGATCACGCGAGGAACAAAAAGCTTGCCATCTCGTTCTTGATACTCCATATCGACACCCAATGAAGCTGCGGAAGACGAAAAGCTCGTTTTGAAGACTTGCAGGATGTTTTCGGCAGTTCCGGTACTGGAAAGTTGAGGTGATGTGCCTAGATCGAGAGTAACGAACTTGAGCAAGGTCTCTGAGCGGATACTTCTTGCCATTCCAATGACCATTTCGGCATCAGGGTCCTCAGAAGCAGTATAAGCACCTCGAATGGCCCAGAGAACACCAGCGGCTGAAGTAAGCATCTTCTGAAGCGCCTCGAAATTTGTTGCGCCAAGGCTCGAAACGATGGGCCGATCAAGTTCGGAAAGAACAATGCAAACTTTGCCCTCAGTTACAAGAGTGCCAAGTGCTCCCACTTCTGGGGTCTTGTTGGTCAGGTCTATCAAAAGGTCTTTGACACCAGTTACTAGCAATTCTTGGGTTGTTTCATCACAGATGATTACAACCTCTGAATCATATGTTGGGAAGGTAGAGTGCCCATTCGTTCCACCGTTGGTCACGCCATTGTTTTCTCCGTTGTGATGTGTCGCTCCATTTGACATTCCGTTGGGTCCGGTTTTCGCGACAACTTCCCAGTCCATTTTGTAGCAAAGCTCGCGATTAGCAGATGAGGCAGACTCGTTTGATCCATCAAATATAGGCGTCATGACCAAAGACTCCATGGTAATAAGAGCCTCATCTTCGCTCTCCGATGCAGTAGCAAACAACGTCAACTTTGTCGGAGATGGGTCCTCCAGTGTTGGCTTTCCAGTACCAAAGACTCTCAATCGGTCTCCACTAATTCGAGTGATGCCAGTCGAGATGGACATGGATTGGACAAAGGAAGGCATATACATAACATCCAGATCTTTCCGTCCCGCACCAAATATTGGCCAGACGATCTGGACAAACTGATCGAGAACTGCAGGATGCATAATAAAATCTGGCTCGTGGCCTTTGGGCATGAAAGCAGCGGTGTCTGGAATCACCAGATCTGCCACAGCATAGTTATCGCTAGCCCGGCAATCTTCCAGGCCCTGGAAGGACTCGCCATAGCCGACGCCAGCTGCGTCGAGAGCCTCATACATCTCCGAAGCATTTACGTCAGTCGTGCAAGCATCGGTGATGGCAACCATTCGCGAGGCCAATGCGGTCTTTTCATCAAGCATCTGCTGAGCGCCATCAACAACATTGTTCTCGATTCGCTTTTGGGTCGAAATAAGTCCCCGGCAGTGCTCAATCCAACTTCGGTCCTTCGCCCATGAAAAGATTCGGAACTCATCCCAAGTATCAGAGGATGAACGTGTGCCTTCAGCGTGCGCTCGGAGCGTAATATTTACTTCTACATCGGAACCCTCGTGAATTACTAAAGGTCGGCTAATCGTTACCTCGCGCAGTTCAAACTTGTCGAAAACGACATTTCGCATCACTGCTCTCTGGGCTGCGGCTTCTAGGGCCATGGTGATGTATCCTGCCATTGGATAAACTGTTATTGACTGCATCTTGTGGTGTCTCACCCAAGGCATATCGTCAGCCCGAATGATATTTCTCCATGTTGGTTCAAGATCATTTGAGTAGTAGGCAAGAGTCCCAACCAAATCGTTCCGGCTGAATGGTCGATCGGTGTGCTTATCCGCAATACGCGACTCGTGCCAATACTTTGTCGAGTGATTCCATCGATACTTGGGAAGATTGGTCAGGAGTACAGGCGCCTTAGTTCCAGGAATTGGGAAATTGATTGCTCCAAAGTCCACCATGGCCCCTTTCATGAATAGGTTTCCTGCCAATTGTACAGAAGTGTCGACTGCATCCTTGTTTCGGTACAAGGCTGATGCGTATGGAATCTTGACTACATTCCCGCCGATTGACTTGAGGATCTGTTTGATAGGCCCCTCGAGACCTGCATGCGGGCCGATCTCTACCAAAATATCGACTCCCGGAGTCGCAGTGTCGTCAATGGGCTTGCACATACTCTGCATAGCCTCCGAGAACCGCACTGGGCGGGTCAAGTTCTCAACCCAATAAGCTGGGCCTAAGTCTGCAGTGTCGACCTGGCGTCCTAATAATGAAGAGTGGAAGGAAGTTGTAGACACCTTTTTGGGAGTGACATACTTGATATTATCTCCGTACTCCTCGGCCACATGATTCATGTGGTGAGAGTGGTATGCAGTGTCGACACGAAGCTTTCGGTTGAACATCTGTTTATGCTCAATCAAGTCTTGCAATTCGTCTATTGCTTGCTCGTCCCCAGATGCTGTGACGCTCGAAGGGCTGTTAATGCATGCTACGGTGGCACGGCCTTCTTTCAACAACTTGATCATGGGTCTAACGTCTTCGACAGATCCTCCAACGGCCAACATAGTGCCCTTGAGCTCTGGATATTTGCGTTTGAGCGACAGAACCGACTGGCCACGATAGTATGCAATTGCAATGCAAGAGTCGAGCGGCAGTGCTCCAGCTGCATACGCAGCGCCAATTTCGCCGCTGGAATGGCCAGCTACCGCAGCAGGTTGTATTCCCCAGGACTGCGAAACATTCATATTTTAGCATTTGTGTCAATGGGGAAGAAAATATTCTTTGACTTAAGGCTAGTCCGAAACAAAGGCTAATGTGGAAAGTACAGCAAGTACTTACTTTTATTAGGTCAGTCAAAGCTAATTGAATCGCGGTGCATGCAGGTTGACTGATTTCTGCGTCCGAGACCCTCGAAGACTCAGCGTCCTTACACAACTCCTCTGTCTCCATGTTAGCCTCAAATTAAAATTTCCTTGGCAACTATGAACTCTTACTCAGTAGAGAGAAATTGGCTCCTAGATCAAGTAGGCAATTGTCGAGCTTTTCCATCGTAGAAGCAAAAACGGGGTACGCGTCCAGAAGCTCGCGGCCCATAGCATGCCATTGGGCACCCTGGCCTGTGAAAACGAAGCCAATCCTAGGTTCCTGTGTCGCTCTCGATGGCTTGATATTCAATCCAGCAAGTTCAGGTATCAGCTCAGCGGACGACCTTGCTGGAATGGCAATCTTGTAAGAGAGGATGGATCGGCGTTGACCTAAGGTATATGCCAAATTTGGCAGAAGAGAGTTCTGGAAGACCTCCGGACGCTGCTCGAGGTATATCGTGAGTTCATGCATTTGGGCTTCCAATGCCGTCTTGTCGTTTGCAGACAAAATGTAGAGTCTCTTCGGCGAGGTATGAGCTCCAGTCGCCCGTGTATCATTGGTTCCATTCAAAACAGCCTTGGGCTGGTTAGGTGCCTTTTGAAGGACAGCGTGAGCATTCGTCCCTCCGAAACCAAAGTTATTGATACTGCAGGTACATTAATACAATTTTCATGTTGCACGGCATCTTGAAACTAACCTCGCATATTTCTTCCCCCGTGGCCACGGGCGCTGATTTGTCGGGACCTGTAATTGTCAGCATGCGTGAGAAATAAAGCTGCGGAAACTACCTTCATATTCCATTCGCTGAACGGGATTTTCGGATTTCCCTTCTCAAAGTCGCAGTTCGGGAGTATGAAACCCTTCTCAAGCATCATAGCGGTCTTGATCAGACTGACCACACCACTCGCACCTTCAAGATGACCAATATTTGATTTCACACTGCCGACGAAGAGAGGCTGTTTAGCGGTTCGTCCTTCGCCGAAAACTTCTTGTAAGGCCGCGGCCTCTATTGGATCCCCAACTTTCGTACCAGTGCCATGAGCTTCGATGTACCCTGTGTCGGCAGGGTTCAAACCAGATTTTTCATAAACGGATTTCATCAATGCAACTTGAGCGTCGCCGCTTGGCATAGTGATTCCTTTTGTTCTGCCATCTTGGTTGATTCCAGAGCCAACGATAACAGCGCGAATAGAATCATTCGCCTTAATAGCCTCATCTAAGGGCTTCAAGATCACACATCCGACACCTTCTCCTCGACCAAATCCGTTACCACGGTGGTCGAAGGCAAAAGATTTTCCCTCGTTCGAGAAAAGGCTAAAAGATGAATTAGCAAAATGTTTTGTTTGGGAAGATTGAGCAGCTGACCTTGACATAGACATTGTAATGAAGTAATCCGGCAAAATGTTTAAGTGACTAGACGCTACCACAGCTTGGCTTGATTCGCCGCTGCGCAAGCTTTGGCAGGCCAAATGTAAGGCTGACAAGCTAGACGAACATGCAGTATCTACCGTGAAACTTGGGCCAGAAAGGTCGAAATAATATGAAATCCTGTTGGCCAACATAGACGAAGAGCATCCAGTGGCTTGATACATAGGGGCTGGTTTTTTCCAACGGATTAGTTGGGGTTTTTTCGCTCCGAAAATCCTCTTAGTTGCTATTAGGACAGAGAAGAGCTCTTTTGACGTACCTGTGTCGGTGTCACGACAGTTCCTCAGCTCGTAATCTGCGAAGGAACCACCAACAAAAACGCCTACTTTCTGCCCAACTAAACTGTGTTTAGGGATTCCTCCATTTTCAAAGGCTTCATATGTACACTCCAGTAACAATCGCTGTTGAGGATCCAGCGAGATCGCTTCTTTTTCGGTCAAGTTGAAAAATGGGGCATCAAATAGTCCAATATCTTCAGAGAGAAAATGCCCACCCTCTGGATTGTAGCAGCCAACCTTATCCGGATTGGGATGGTGGAATACCTCGTGGTTAAATCTGCTATTGGGAATTGGGGACCCTACAAAAAAAAGAGGATGTTAGCACCTTGCTCATGAATTCTTCGATGTAACAAGAATGAGCTTGGAAATGCATGTTTCAAGATCTTGTCTGAACTGGGGCCTAGGAATAACAAGTCAAAGTCCCAATGCTATTCGGTAAGAACTTACAGCCACTACGAGCCCGAGAGCAAAGTTCCCAGAACTGTTCTGAAGTTGAAACGTCGCCTGGTAAACGACATCCCATACCAACAATGGCTATTGGTGACAAGCTCTCTGCTTTGGAGTTTGTGCTATTGGCACCATTAGTCCTGTTAATGCCGTTGCTTCCATTGATACGCGCTGCGCCATCCATGTGTCCGTTGGTTTCGGAGTTTGAATATATTGGTGAAGTACTGGGGCTCTCGTCGCCGGTTGACATAGCATGGGGTGCCATAGTGCTCTGCAAATGGATTGATGGTCGAAATTCGAGAATGTTAGCAGGATAGGACCTTTATATAAGAGTTAGGATATAATTCTCAAGCGGTTTTGAGGGACTTGTTAGTTGTAAGAGAACATACTAAGGCCGGAGACAGATACCTATATCGGTAAGTGGACTGCTATCTCATATAGTAGACGCAATGGGCGGCTTTGGAAACTGCCGTAAGGATACAGAGACTGGTAAGTGGAACTGGAAGATGAGAAGATATCGTCCAGGGAGTCAAAAAAGAAGCCGAGGGAGTGTGGCGAGAGGTTTCTCGCAAGATAGTCTCGGATGTAGAGCAAGATATTACGACCTAGGGTTTAAAATCGCCTATTTCTCCACAACGTTCCGCTTGATTGGTAACAACACGTTGAGATCTATTTGATGCGAGCCTTTCTAAAGGGAGATCATCTCGCAAAGGCGTGGTGTAGGGATGACAAGTGAAAGAATTGGCTTGGGATCTGATCGCACATGGCGCGAGTCTTGTGGCAGGTAAATTAAGAAAAGTATGGAAGCTTGATACTCCTTATGGGGAAGCTATCGAGCTGGGGGGCTCCTAAGCCAGTGATCGAAGGACAGACATAGTATGTGCCTCGGCGATCTGGCGTACTTGGTTCGATATCGTCTATTACTAGAACAGTGAAGATCATATTCCGTAGATAATGATTTGGCCATCCATGGCAAATCTTGATATCTGAAACGATACAGGCCCAAGCAAATAACTGAGGAGAGAAGTCGCAACGAAATACCGGCTTGACAGGGATCGGCAGAAGAAAGCTCAATGCCCTTAAGAGGTGGGATAAGGCCCCTGAGACTTCAGAGATGGAGGGAGAAGAGGGGAAAACGAGCCGCGGAGAGGTATCAGGACGGAAACGCATGAATATGTTCACAGGGACAAGGTTGTGGAGCTATCCACAGCTTTGCAAGGAGGATAGCCAAGTAGCGATACGTTACCGGTATTTAGGAACTTAATACTTCGCATTATGTAGCTCAGCATAACATAGCCCGAGCAGCTGGTTTCGTACAAATTGAAGTCGTGGTAGAGAAGTGTCACAAGTACCGCAAGCTGCAAGCCTCGGGAGTAAGTATGGTGGTGCACGGCTTATGGACCGTGCGGGTCTTTCTTAGTTAGGATTAGCGTATTTCATCGGTCCAGGCGCAGGGCAAACAGAGTAGACCAAGCCAAGCTCCAACAGCCTTCATCCTCAGTTTCTTTTGAAGCCTCTTTGAATCTACAGTTCTTCATTCTCCAAAGCGCAGGCAATAGAAGGTTCTAGACGCCGTGGCAAACGCCTTATGAGTACTGTGCGGTACTGCCGCAGACACAGAGACACTTCTTTGCGCCCATCCGTAGTGGTGGTACCAAAGACAATAGTTATAGGAGACTGGGTACAGACCTTGAGTTCGGGCCTAGGGAATGTCCTTCAGTCCAAACATCCCTAATGCCAGTGCCATCCCCACCTCTTGCAACCGTCGTAAGGCTCGATAGCCGACGTCAGTCGACTTGAAGGCATTTGAGAAATCAAGTGAAGCCTGAAATATTATTCTTTCTGAGGCAATGATAGTGGCTGGCTCTGAAACATGTGCAATCCAGCAATTTTTTAGCTCGTTTTTCCCCTCGTACCTGATCTCTACTGTATCACTAGACCAGTCGCAATAATGGTTTTCCAATCGTGCGTCTAAAAAAAAAGAAGGGAGGGGGCTTCCAACAAGCATGATCTACAGATCGCCTTTTCGGGTATCCCTTGGAGTGGTCCTATGGGTGACACGTACCCGTCGGTCCCATCCAGGGTGCTCCCAGAGAAAAATCGGCTTCAGAAACTGTTTTGACAATAAAACACCCACGTCGTCACTTGCATCTCGCATGGCATGGTCGCTTTCGAGACTGCCTGCAAGATTTCGCCGAATCCCCACGTCTTATCGCGAGTTATGATATAGGCCAAACTCATCTCCTGAACAAAACGTTCCCCCTCCATTGCACTTTCAAAGTATTCTACAGATCGACACTCCAGAAATACGATGAGGTTCTTATGTCTCCCAGGAGCCTATGGCAGCGCGAAGGTTGGACCACCATATGCATTTGCAGTATACTTGCTAACTTTCAAGCAGAACTTTGAGGTTCAACTAGGTAGGCAGCGTGGGGGAATTTTCAGAACATATTGCTGATCGGAACCAATAGCACCTTTCTGTAAAGAACTCATCTCAGATGGCAGTGCAGAATTCTTCTTCACCCAAGGAACAATTCCTTGTTCCCCGCCTCAAGGATTCACAGATTACTTCGGACCAGGACCACATTACAGATTCATCGAATACGATGGGATCGAAGGGACCAATCAAAACGATGTTCTTGAGCGAGTACGAGATTTCCCCGAGGGCGAGAATGCCGAAGATGTGCTGCGAGAGTTGATGCCCCAAGGAGAAGATGGCATTCGATCAAGTGTCAGGAACGCTCTTGATGCTATATATCACACCATAGAGGCACACGGGCCATTCGATGGGATCTGTGCATATTCCGAGGGAACTGTTGTTGCAGGCACATTCATCATGGATGAGTTGCGAAGACAGCAGGAGGAAGGGAGGCCAAGACAGATCAAGAGGGCGATATTCTTTGCTGGCTGGCCTCCATTGAATCTGCAATCAAATGAGATGGTCTTGGCCGATACCAGCGAAGATATCATTGATATTCCCACATTACACTGTGTTGGCGCAGATGATCCATATCTCCAAGGCGCAATGGCATTGTTTAACGTCTGTGATCCGGATGAAGCCATTCTTTTTGATCATGGGAAAGGTCATACTATTCCAAGGGATGCGCAAACTCTGAAGGAGCTAGGGAATGCGGTACGGGGTCTGGGTTTGGCAAGTGCTTAAGTTATAAATGCTACACGATGTTCGTCTCAAGCTCTAGAGGTTTCTTTCCAGTCAAAGTATATGCGTTCGCTTGGCTTTTATGGTTCTCCTTTTCCAAACTGAGATGGTGCTATACTATTCGGCTGCCCAGCAGCATTGCTCAATCTTCTTCACGTCCATCCATGAAGAATAGCACGCAATGAAAAAAGATAGTCCCTTACGAGAAGGTGTGATTCCAAATATTCCCTGTCAAAGTAAAGTTATGACAGGAGTGGTCAAACATTATAGTTTTCAATAAGCAAAAACATAAGCTCGGACGAGTCCTCACTGCTGTATGTATTACCCTTGCACCAAGATGAAGAGAAAAGAAGAAGATTTCTGGGATGTCACGGGGGTTCTTATACCTTTAGCATCAAGAATTCTGTGACTCACTTGTTGGGTGAGTCATTAGCGAGTCATCATAATATCATTATTCTGTGGCATTTAATTTCAAGGCGATTCATGATGCTGGCAAGATTTGAATTTGCAAAATAGTTGAGTCACAGTTCTTCATAGGCAGAAGTTGTCACGATACAGGCGAGTCACGTGGTTGAGCATTCCTGTCTCCAATATCCCGCGACCTATCTTCGAAACCATGTAGCGGGCTTGCTACAATCGATCCAAATATAGGCCACAATCTTATATCCAAGCTTGGTGTGTCATGTTAGGCCAATTGATCCCGAGCCTCAATATACCCATCCCCGGATTCGAACACATTCTTACGTTACCATAATCTATTGAACACATACCAAAGTCACACGACCTATACTTTAACCTCCGGCAAGTTTCTAACTCTTCAGACAATAGTTCGTACCTAAGTAAAACTTTGGCCTCTGAAATCTTGCTATGATCTTTTACTTTAGCTCAAAGCTATTAATCGAGGCTAAGTGGGCTACTTCATACAAGGACATATAGTCAACTCAGCAACTCAGTCAAGAGAAACCACAAACAAAGTTCGGATCATCCGAGTCCTACAAAAGTTGTATCCATACACTACCGCTATATATGCCCCCCTCGATGGCGCCATAATATTGGGCTACGCACAGCTGAACTCCCGACCAGACACAGCGAGACATAGCGCAACACAGACCTCTGAAACCTAGCCAAGCTTCTCCACAAAGCAATTCAATAAAAGCTCCTCTCGTTGGACTATATTCTGTACATCGCTTCATTGACTCTAATTGGGTCAGAAGGTCCAGGCCGGAGCAGATGGTGTACAAGTACAGAGGTACAACGAACCTAGATGTGCGACGAGACTGCATCATTCCAATTCACTCGGAGACACCGCCAGCCAGCCCAGCTCCATAAGGCACCAGGACCTAGATTTGTCTGTCTATCTATTTGTCAGTTCAATGACTGAGATATTTCAGCTTCTCGCAACCACAAAAAGCACATGCTATGACTCCTCCGTACAGCGCAAGGACAGCTGGACAGCTAACGCAAGTTCCGAACCGACCTAGCTTGAAAGGAGCCAAAATCTTGAGAATGTTCCAGTCGCCAGGAAGGTCAGTCAGTCAGTCAGTTATCGAGACTAGAAATTCAAAGAAAAGTTCCAGCCGCCCGTGCCGTGTTCATTGGACCTAAACCGAGCCTCACCTCAGTTGCCGAGGCCTCACTGTCACTTCAAGCTTTCCCCCTTAAGCCAAGTGCTTTATTTATTTCTGACCTGGAAACTTCCAAGTGGAATGGCCGATATTCTCTGATCAAGGTATTCTATTCGTCAGCTCTCCCTTCCCTACCCTACCGCTTGAATCCTAAATATATATATAAAGGACCACGAAGAGGGCAAATATTTTCTGCTATTTCCGTTTCGTTGTTATTGGTCCACTAAAGCGGATTATCCTACCCGGATTATGGTATGCGATTGAGGTTCACAGAGGCTGGGTACATGTATATCGGAAAGGCAAAGGCGGGAAGAGGGTAGGAAATCGCACTCTCAATATATGTATGTATAGAAGCTAGGACAGGCTGCGATATTGCTTTTGGAGCCTGGACGTCTTTCCTGTAGTCTATTTATGGGTGTCGGTGTGTAAGAAGTGGGTGTTGATTATCTATGCTAATATACTTGGTTGGTTTTAAAGAGAATTATGCTCCACTGCCTTTACAATAATGCCGTCTCCATTCAACTCAAGCATCCTCCACATCCGTCTCTTATACCCTCTCTAAAGCATCAGCCGCCCAATCGAGAATCTCATTGATGATATTTGATACTTCCTCACTTGTTTCCTCACTGTAAAAAATATCACGCATACTCGTCAAGTCTTGAGCGTCGGTCAACGGCCCATTATCTATAATATGCCTGGATATTGCCAGGTCCTTAAGCTTAGCAAATTCAAGGGGACAAATTTAGTCATCTCAGAAGGTCTCCCGTACCACTTTTAGACTCCTATCGAATAAGACCGTGCAAGATGAAGGACCGGGACAAAGTTTGCGGGCATTCCATCTGGTGATTCTGGAGTTGAGGACGATTTTGGACTCTTTGCATCAAACATTGCAAGCATATGGTACCAAAGGGCACGAGTAGTGTCCGACATATCGTACGGCGAGAGATAATCAGCTTGTTCTGGACCGACTCGGTACACCATATTTAGCAGAGTCCACAGAGCTACTTTATCATCAGAACCGCCCGCTAAAGTCTGGAGGCGGAGAAGCTCGAACAATGGGTACGAATTTCGTGGTTGATCTCTTTTTCGTTGGTGGATCATGGCCTGCACTTTGGCTAAAGAAACGGTGTTATTCGATAAACTTTTTGCAGCAGTGAAATGGGGAACGCAGATACCGGGAGTGAGGTCAATCTCTTGCATGAAGGGTCTTTACAGACGCATTTGACGCCCCAACATTCCACGAAGGGATTTTTCCTTTTATGGATGATAGTCGACTTGCGAGTATAATGGATGAAGATTTCATCCCCGGGAGCAGTTCTTCCACACAAATCAGCGGTTCCGGAATAGAGAAGATCAGATCTCCTAGCAGTAAGGATTCATCTTTCTGCTCCGAGGCTACAACTCTATCACCAAAAACATTCCGCTTAACAAGCGAATGTAAGCTCCTTCTGGCCTTTTTTCCGTTTACACATTTCATGGACCATGAATATACCCACCCCAAAGACCAAGCAAAGGAAAAAATACAATAAGTAAACTTCTCCATTCCCCAAACAAACAAAAAGGCCGCCATCAAATAGTCAGAAGTCATTCTAAAAGGAAAACAAAAAATCGTACCACTTCCAAGCACCAACCACTTTCACCTGCCCACTACGCTCATCTCATCCCGTCTCATCTGCCTACAACCCCCCAAACACTCACCGCTTCAATCTCCTTATCATCTCAGACAAACCCAACTTGAACATAAATTTCAAGTAAAAATCAGACAAAACTTACCACAAAATTCAAATTAAACATGTCGTATCCTCACACCTCACACCCAAAAATTCACTTTCAAATACCCCCTCGACCAATACACACTCTCAATGCGCCATTGCACAAGTCTTGTGCCCAACACACCCACATAGCAACTTTGCTGTTAAATCTCGCGGGCGAACCTCTTGTTCTCAGTGTGCTGGTCTTGTTCCATAGTGTGTTGGTTGTGGTGCTGGTACGGCTGTACACGTGATTGTGCGGAATGGATGGAATGGGTCGATAAATGAAAAGATGGAGAATGGATTTTGGTATGGGCATGAGTAAATGGGGGAGTTCGGTGTTGAATGTTGAATAGGATGATTGATGGTTGAAGGATGGATGTGATTAATTCTGTATTCCTCTTAAGCACGCGTCAACAAAGCAAGAAAGTTGCATTTAGCAATAAAGTTTCCATTTCGAAACGGGAAATTATCTTACACTCAATCAATCGTAGCACATCTCTCTAGATGCTCACCAATCCATATCCCGAGCTTCCCCAAAGCTTCCTCTAACACACTGGTCTCACACACATACCCAACCCTGACCATGCCCCCAAACTCACTGCCAAAGCACTTACCAGCTGGCACAAGCATAACCTTGGTCTTCTCCAGAACATCTATGCACATAGCCACATCATCAACCTTCTCCCCTCTTCTCTTCATAAACTTAAGCAGCGCGGTCGTGCCCGCGTTAGGTTTCACCCAACTGATAGTCCCCCTATGTTTATCCACAAATCGCTCTAGGATCTCTAGATTCGTCTTCGCAAGCTTGATATTCCTCCCCAACAAAGAGTGCAGCACAGATCCCGAAAGAGCATAGCTCGCAACGGAGTCATCGAGCTGGGAGACAGAAATTGTAGTATAATCCCTTGCCGCTGCGATAGCCTCGATGAGTGTAGAAGAGCGGGATGCGATCCATCCTACCCGTATGCCGGCTAGACTGTACGCTTTAGACATCGACCCTGTAACGATTGTGTTTTCATAGCCCATGTTTATCAAACTCGGGGGAAATTTCGGGTCAGCGGGTGACATGCCCGTGAAGAGGGGTCGGTAGACTTCATCTGATAGAATGGTGATATTACGCTCTTTCGCGAAGTCAACAAGATCTTGGAGGACTGGCTTGGGGATTGTGGCGCCAGTAGGATTGTTGGGATTGTTGATTATGATCAGACTGGTTTTGTCGTTCACTAATTCCTTCAAGTCTCTGATGTCAGGTATGTAGTCCCTTTCAGCTCGTAACTTCCATAATGACACGTCGGCGCCAAGGCTTGCTGGCACATCGTATAGTTGCTGGTAGGTGGGGTACGTGCATATAACGTGGTCTCCGGGTTTGATAAGTGTGTAGAAGGCGAGGAAGTTCGCAGCGATGGCGCCGGGTGTGATCAAGATGCCTTCTTTTGGGAGGGGAGAAGGTTGCCGGGCGGAGTATAAAGATGCTAGACGTTCTCGTAGAGGGTTGGAGCCGCGGATCGAGCCGTATGTGAGTTTTGTGGATGTGCTAAGGGGTGGAGGAATGTTCGGGTCTTCGCAGAGGCCGACGAGGTCGTCGATGGAAATTGAGGCTGCACAGGTTTCGGAAATATTGAGAACGTCTGGGATTATTTCGTATTTGTCCATCCACTGGTGTTTGTTAGAGTCTAATGCAGTCAGATATTCGGAACTTCAACGTGCCTGCTCGACCTCGAAGGGTTTTATAAGCACCATAATGGGCTGATTCGGGTTATCCTGAGGGGGGGAGGTGGATGTCTATGGATTTAGCCCTGGAAGGCTGGAAGGGAATAATGTTGGCTTTTGTTTGATAGACATTCTGATGAATTTGACGGACCTCTGTGTATCTTATTAAATAAACTGACTGACTGGCTTTCAAAAGAACTAAGTCGTCAAGATCAGATGAGAACGAGGAGGTTATTTAGTTCAGTGAGGTGAAGCTTCTAAAGGCGGGGTAAAATAGAAGCTATCTGTCGGGGCATTCAAAGGCCGCTCTGGACAGGCAACCAACCAACAGCATCCACCGCCGTCACCTCCTGGAATAGGAGCGCATCTTCACTCAGTACTCCTCCTCCTCCACGCCACACACCTACTCCACTCTGTACTCTCTCTCTCTCTCCCTCACTCATTATCCCACTCTCCTTATTTGCGTCCGGTCTTTTAACACTTCTTTTCTGCTGTTCGAGGCAGCAGCTGTTTCTTCCCTTGCTACTACTGTGTAGAGCTATAGCTGCCCAGCCCCATATTTACCCGTCTTGCTTCCAAGTTCACATCTTGAACACTCCTACAACAACGCCAGGTTACAGATCACAAATCACAGATGCGCCGACTCCTGGGGCAAGCAGTCCTTGCGACTCTATCGCTATCATGGACTGCCTCGGCCTTTTCCAACTACTCGTCCATAGACATGATGCGCGCTCAATTATCTCTCATGGACGACCGACCCGATGATTGCCCCCCATGGTATAATGCGCTATACGCCACCATAATTATCGCAACTTGCTAACAAGATGCAGTTTCAATTGTCTCCTCCCAGCTTTCACCTGCGGTCAATATTCCGAATGCAATGAATACAATGGCAAATGTTCATGTCCCCCGGGCTACGGGGGCGACGACTGTCTATCTCCAGGTACGAATCTTCTGCTGGACCTAGTTGTGGCGAGGGAATACAACATATTAACTAGCTTGTAGTCTGTGGATCGTTAGCAGATGGAAAGGATCGACCTATGCGACAAGGGGAATACTGCGAGTGTGGCGATGGCTGGACTGGAATCAACTGCAACGTATGCACCACCAACAAAGCTTGTAACGCTTTGATGCCGAAACCAGACGATGGAGAGGAACGATCAGGAGGCGTTTGCTACCAGAATGGGGAGGTAGTGAAGGAGAACTACCAAATGTGCGATGTCACGAATAAGAAGATTGTTGATATTTTGGACGGGAGAAGACCTCAAGTCACATTTACCTGCAATGCAGAGCACGAAACTTGCGATTTCCAGTGTAGGTACAAATCAAAAGCCAGTCTTCCAAAAAACTAACATATCCCAGTCTGGGTCGAACAGCAAGAATCATTCTACTGCTCGCTCGATACCTGCTCTTCCTCGGCTCGCAACGATGTCGGACAAAACAGCACCAGCTACAAATGCGATAACATACAATGCAAGTGTATCCCGGACAGGATGCTATGTGGAGAAAATGGTTCCGTGGATATTACAGACTTTCTGGATCAGTCAATCAAAGGACCAGCGTCATTCAGTTGTCTACAGGAATCGCAAGGCGCAAACAACTGCCAATTTCAGGAGCCTCAAATGGATTTGTTGATTCAGCAGATGTTTGGAGACAAGAGTATCTTTATCAACTGCCAGGCAGGCGAATGTCTTTATGAAACCGAAGTTCCTGGATTCGAGCGGCCAGTGAAGAGGATAAATACCCCTCTAATCGCAGGAGTTATTGCAGGTGCCTCGCTTTTCGTGGTTGGTGTAATCTTGTTGGTCTGGTACTTATCACGGAGACAATTCAAGTATGGTCCAATCCACTTGGATGATTCGGATGACGAGAGCTCTAAGCTCATGTCTGACCACAAGCCCGCTTCCTTGTTCTTTGAGAATGTTTCCTATCATCTAAACGGAAAGCAAATTCTCTCAGGGGTCCAAGGTGTAGCGCATCCCGGAGAAATTATGGCTATTATGGGTGCTTCAGGAGCTGGCAAGACGACTTTCCTTGATATTCTTGCTCGCAAGAACAAACGAGGTGTTACTCATGGAGACTTCTACGTTAACGGAGAGAAGGTTGACGACACTGAGTACAAGAATGTCGTTGGATTCGTCGACCAAGAAGATACTATGCTCTCTACCCTTACAGTCCACGAAACTATCATGACTAGCGCTCTTTTGCGACTACCTCGAGATATGGGCCGAGCTGCTCAGGAACAAAGGGTGTACGAGGTTGAGAAACAGCTTGGAATTAGTGCGATCAAAGATTCCCTAATTGGCTCGGAAGAAGGGAAAGGCCGCGGGATCTCAGGAGGTGAGAAACGAAGAGTTGGAATTGCTTGTGAGCTTGTTACAAGTCCAAGCATTTTGTTCTTGGACGAGCCAACAAGTGGACTTGATGCTTATAATGCTTTCAATGTCATTGAATGTCTTGTTACGCTCGCAAAGACCTACAAACGGACAGTGATCTTTACAATCCATCAACCACGCTCGAATATCGTGGCTCTTTTCGACAGGTTATTACTACTGGCCAAAGGAAAGACTGTCTACTCCGGCGAATTTGGGCAATGTCAAGATTACTTTGAACATATTGGTTACTCGTGTCCGCCCGGATTTAACATCGCGGATTATCTCGTGGACTTGACGATGCATGTTGGAGCTCCTCACACCCCAACCGACGAGGAGATAGATGGTTTGAATACAGGTGGCAATTCAAGTGCAGGGCCAAGCAGCACTAGGGCTGTGAAATCGATCGCTAGTATCTCCGGCGGGAGTATAAATGACGACTTGGCTAGCAGTCCAGGGGACTCATTACTAAGACCTAAGAGTAAACGAAGAGACTCAGTGAAGGCAAAACAGGAAAGAGAGCTTTACACACGCAAGAAGACCGGGCACGAAACACCAGGCTCTCAACCCGACGATACCCCAGTGGATCCCAACGCAAATTCACAACAATGGGTACGACTATCAAAGCAGCAAAGCAATCACGTACCACAGCAGATTTTGGACGATCCTGACAACCTTCCACCTGCAGCATCGACAACGGGCACTGATCTTGACATACTCGTTTCAGCATATGCACAGTCTGACATTGCTGGTAACATTCACGAGGACATCCATTCTGCGATAGCATCCGCTCAGCAAGCCAATGGCGGTATGAATGGGCACCCTTCAGGAGATCGATCCTCACATACTGGAGCTATGGGCAGAGGATATGCAAGAATTGGGTACATACGACAATTCATCATCCTCTCGGGACGGACCTGGAAGAATCTGTACAGAAATCCAATGTTAATGCTCACGCATTACGCCATCGCAATTCTTCTCGCTGTTCTCTCTGGATTCCTTTTCTATGGCCTAACGGACGACATCCCCGGCTTCCAAAACCGCCTCGGACTGTTCTTCTTCGTCCTAGCCCTCTTCGGCTTCAGTACCCTCTCCAGTCTAACAGTCTTCGCCACCGAGCGCCTGCTCTTCGTCCGCGAGCGCGCAAACGGCTACTACTCCCCAATAACCTACTTCCTCTCCAAAGTAATTTTCGATATCGTACCCCTCCGCATAATACCCCCAATCATCATGGGATCCATCATCTACCCCATGACAGGCCTCGTACCTGACGCGCCCCACTTCTTCAAATTCATCCTCGTGCTCGTCCTCTTCAACCTCGCCGCTGCAGGAATCTGTCTCTTCATTGGCATAGTCTGCAAAGACGGGGGCGTTGCTTCGCTGATCGGCTCCCTCGTCATGCTCTTCTCCCTCCTCTTCGCAGGTCTTCTCCTAAACCACGACGCTATACCGAAATCGGCAGTCTGGCTCCAAGCTATCTCAATTTTCCACTATGGCTTTGAAGCGCTGATTGTAAATGAGGTTACGTTTCTCATGCTTGAGGATCATAAATATGGGATTGATATTAAAATCCCGGGCGCGAGTATTTTGAGTAGTTTTGGGTTTGACACTCAGGCGCTTTGGCCTGACGTGCTTAGTTTGGGATGCTTTGCTGCTGCATTTATTGTGTTGGCGTATGTGGCTATGCATGTTTTGCTTGTAGAGAGGAGGTAGAGCGGGTGCTGCGTGGTAGATAGAGAGATGTAACATGATGTTAATTATGTGTGAGCATTTGGACGGGTATTTCCTTTTGTTCTTAGGCAGACGGTGCCTTGCATATGGCGTTCGGTTCTTGCAAATTATGTCATGGCTTCTATACCAATGTTATCTATCAGAAATACATAAATTTGAATCATGAGCCCATTGCCCTCGTCTGTGACCGGTTGGAAGGCTGCCTCAAGCCCAACAGAGCTGATTGCAGCAAGATGACTACCATCTACTCTACCGTTGCACCACAACCAAGTTGATTTTGGCAGACCTGGCAGCTACAGGGCCCCAAGTCCAGCTTTATCTGTGCGCTCTAGTAGAGGTTCATGCATTTATATGTCGTTGTAGACGTATTTTCTTTAGGGATGTAGGAATGCCTGGGTCTGGAATATGTACCCGGGGTGTGTGTCGTGGAAGCACTAGAAATGCAGGATGACAGAGCTAAGCCCATAATTGTCAGAAAGGTGACAGCACCCATGTCCACAATTGTCAGGAAAATGAAAAGACCAACTACATGCGGAACGGTATTTGACTACTTCTGAAATTCAGCCCTCATTAACACCGTTATGATTGAAAATCTGGCAAAGCAAGTGCTGTTTGGCCCAATCATCTGATGCTTAAATCGAGATATCCAAGATTATTTTCATGCAGTACAATGGATTCTGACACTCTTAGAAGTCATTTATGGACCTTGTATATTCATTATTATTAGTCCTCCTGCTACACTATAAGTCCTTGCATAGCCTCTCGTTCTTAATCAACCTGTACCAAGACTTGCCAACTTTTTCACTCTTCCAGACGCATCAACCATCTATCTTCCTATCACCCAATGGCATCTTTAGGGTCATTCCTCACACAAGCATTCCCACCGAGTCCACAATTCACCGAAAAGGACATTCCTTCCCAAGTGGGCAAAGTCTTTCTTGTCACAGGCGGTAATTCAGGCATTGGGTATGAGGTTGTTAAAATCCTCTACTCCAAGGGCGGCACAGTCTACATGGCTGGCCGTAATCCAGGAAAAATCAATGCGGCAATCGAAGCTATAAAGTCCACTCACACCGCTAGCCCTGGACGTATCAAGAGTCTCATTCTCGACCTTGGCGACCTTAGCACAATCCCATCCTGCGTCGCTGACTTCCTCGCCCAAGAAACTCGTCTCGATGTTCTCTGGAACAACGGAGGCATCGCCCAAGTCCCTGCCGGCAGTGTAAGCGCCCAAGGCCACGAAGCCCAGATCGGCACCAACTGTCTCGGGCCCTTCCTCTTGACGCAACTCCTTCTTCCTGTCCTACTGCGAACCGCAAAATCAGTACCCACAGCTGGCGTGCGCGTAGTATGGGTATCTTCGGGGGTTATTGATCTCAAAGCTCCTCCGGGTGGTCTCTTACTGGACGAGCTTGCCCCTGGCCATCATTCGCAAGACAAGATGCATAACTACAGCGTCTCGAAGGCGGGCGACTGGCTTCTAGCGTCGGAACTGGATAAGCGGGTTCGCAAGCACGGGATCGTGTCTGTGGCTCTCAGTCCAGGTCAGTTGAAGGCCAAGGGCTTTGATCGGCTGCCGTGGCATCAGAGGTGGCTGATGAAGCCCTTGTTACATGAACCTATCATGGGCGCGTATACGGAGTTATGGGCTGGGCTTAGTCCGGAGGTGACGTGTGCTGATGGAGGGAGATTTGCTTTGCCGTGGGGAAGATGGCATCCGAGCCCAAGGAAGGATATTCTTGAGAGCTTGAAGGCAAAAACGGAGGGAGGAACTGGCGTTGCGGCTGAGTTTTGGCACTGGTGCGAGGAGCAGTCAAAGGGTTATGTTGGACTTGGAAATTGAGAAGTAGATGATCTCAGTGATCTGATTGGGCAACCCTTTGTTTCGAAGCTTGCTTGAGAGGTGTACCATACTATATAGTTTACATGAATACAGTCCTTTCTGTATATCATGATGAGCTTAGAGCTTCTTATTGGCTTGATCGGTCCCTCCATTAGCCACTGCAACTACGTCCCCAAATTATCTAGCTGTTCTGATAATATACATAGCCTGGCGTTGCGTTCAATCTTGCATGCATGTATAGATAGAGGAATCCATGTAATGCACTACCTTAAACCATCAACATAACGCAAAACGCCTTTCTTATCAGCAAACACATACCCCACGAGCCTCTCGAGAACATTCGTCGCTCAACACGCGTCAGTCGATCTATAAACGCTTTCAAGCTCCCCTAACCAATCCTCCAGGCCCCAAATTCAAAGTCAAAATATCACAACATCTTCGCTAACAGTAAATAAACACATCTTCGCATACGCCAAGCTGCAGCACAATAAGAAACGCGAGCCGGTCAATTTTTGACATTAGTAAATTGAATCGCTTTAAGCGAGCCCCTTTTAGCCGTCTGCCCGCCACCCCTTTCCCCGATACTTACCAAAAACCAGATACCTATAGCCGCTACCCTCCATCTCACTCTCATTCTTCTACCCTAGCCAGGTTACAAAGTAGAATGATATATATAAATACTAGTTGCTTTAACAGGACGTAGAATTTAAGTGATCTTTGAAAATTTGAATACGCAGCGTGATAAAAAGATTTCACACATAAAACTGACAGATAGAAGCTCTCATAAGAACAAGGTTCTCATCCATTAACAAGTGAATGAAAGCCAGTACGGCATCGACAAAAGTATTACCTAGTCGTTGTGGAAAATTATCGGCTTCTTTCCCCAGGAGACACGAACATGGCACGGATAAGGTAGGTAGAACTTGAAATTACCTAGGGTACGTAGGTAGGTATAGTGTACCCGGTGCAGCGACTCAATTTCATAGTAACCCGAGACTAAACTACAGCTTTAGCTTAGTATTCTGAGGATCTGATACGTACTATACCTACTGGTTATTGATACTTAGATGATATCCGCAGCAGGAAGTGAACGCTACGGCACGAAGAGGCATTAGATGAAGGGGTATCATAGTATCTAACGGCCCATCTATCACTCCATCTATGTCGTACATTCCCTCTAGCTGGGGCCCTCTGTTTTCCCGTCCTTGACGCAAGACTCCCACACAGTAAACTCACTATTTGAAACAACGCCTCACGCAACATGCCAAACGCCCCAACAAATGCAGAACTATTAGTTCTCATCTCACTTCTTAATCCATATCCTCCATCCCCCCTCCGCTCGCATGAACCTCGGCCTCTTCAACAGAAACTCCCACTAAACAGCCCGACAACATCCCCTCCCAATTAACCCATGGATGCACCTCCCCAAACAACCGTGTCCCATCCTTACCCGCACACCTCATCAGTTCCCCCTCTCCCCCAGGATGATACGGTAAATAAGGAGTGATATTATACACCTTTCCCCCTAGCACAGTCCACGCATCTTTGCCTTTCCGCCCCGTGAACTGTCTCAGCAGGGAGGGGGGAACTTTGAGGTAGGGCGTATTGGGGGGTAGGCCGTTTAGATTATGGTGTGGGGAAGACGAGAGACGCGCCCAGTCGAGCGGGGAGTGGTTTGGTGTTAGCTGTACCTTTTTGCGGGGCTTAGCTGGGATCGAGCTATGTGTTGGAGGTAAGGCTAGTGAACTCGAACTTGTGGTTGAAGCTGGTGACCGGTTGGGAAGCGGTCCTCCACGGTTGGGCAGTGGTGAGGGACGGGGAGGAGGAGCCATGAGGGATGATGTTTGCGCGGGGATAGCGTTTAGACGTGGTGGTTGGGGCCCTCGGATGCCGCCAGATGCTCGTTGCGCTGAGTTTAGGGCTGGAAAGGAGGGCGGTGGCATGGTTTCGGTATCGGAGGAGGAAAGGGTGAAGGATGGTACGGAGCTAGAGCTTGGGGTGGGTTTTGCGCGGGGGGTTGTGGGTGACGAGGGGGATTTGATGGTTGGTGGTGGAGGTGGTGGCATCGCCATCCGGTCTGCTTCTTCTTTCTTTGGGGTGGCAGGTGCTTCTGCTGTCTCTTTCTCCGTAGGCTTCTCTTTCTCTGTAGGCTTCCCTTTCTCGGTATCATTATCCGTGTCATGGGTCTTGGTAATTGTAGGAAGCGGCTCTTGTATCGATGGCGGGATACCCTGGGGTTGTCGCAACCATGCTAAGAAAGACCATGTTGTCGGTGGGTGCTTGTAGCAGATGAAGGATATCGAGGCAACGAGGATTGACAGTCCGAAGAAAGTCATGATATCTTTCTCGTGGGTGTTGTTTGGTAGTTGTTTCTCTGCGGCTGCTTTCCGCCCCTCTCGATCTTAGTCAGAGTGGGGTGGATAGGTACATTATCGTAAGGTATCTATCCTATCATATCATATCCTATCCTATACCCCTCGGATGAGACCACTGGGGAATCCCTTCAATACTCTGTAACGGCACAGGACAGTCCAGGGGGAAGAAGAGAAATGACGCGCTGGATCCGCTTCCTTCCCCTCGCTGTAGCCTCTGACTCGGTGTCCGTAAGTTACCGCATGAATTTCAATTACAGGCTGCATGCATATGTTGACATGGCATGTCCGGAGAAATACTCGAGTACAGTAATAGAAAGGTCTGTTATTGCAGCATACTTTAGTAAACAAAACATTCGTTTTTTGCCTCTAATTTAATCATTGTGACTACTGACTATAATGTATGTTTGTTTGTGAATATATGAATAATATCTGGGTCCTTCTTCTTCTACTGTATTCCTCGTACCAGAATCTATACTGTAAGATAAGCCTAAGACGCAAGGCGAGCTCGCTGGTTGGCCCATCTGGTGCACCCACCATGAGAGCCCTGGTTGGCGGTGTTTACAACACGCGCAGAAACACCTCAACCCTCAATCAAGACAGTAACCAAAATCAACAATCCAAGTCCAAGTCCAACACTACCAATTCAACACCCACTCCTACTCCCACTCGACCACGTCTAGCCAAACCTTCTCACTGCCTCCCTCTTCAAACTCGCGACAAAAATGCCATGATGCGTGTGCAAAAGGGAGTGACTCCAATGCCATTAAAAAGTGGCAATGCGAATATGGCCCCGTACGATAAACAGAATGCATCGAGACCTCTCATGCCAACCCTCAGCGCCACCGCCAGACCTTCAGCCAGACAGCCGTTGACTCCTAGAGTAGCCGGCGCAGCTTCTCCCGCCTTATCCACCCCATTGTCACGAAGGCCGCAGCGTCTGGAAAGTAATACCACTCCCACCAGAGAGGAGATCTCGACTCCTGTGTCTACCTTTCTCAACAGCAATATCACACCGAGATCTGGCTCAAGAAAGAATCGCGTGGATAGTGCTAATACGACGCCAACAGGAACTCCAAATGGAACTCCTGCCCCGCCTTTGACGAACGAGTCGACCCGATTTCATGATATACCGGTATACGGGTCTGGATTGGGAATTGCTGGGATGGATAACGATGGTCCGAAACGACATACGGTATCCTTCAATACTCCATCAGATATAGGAGCTCGAAGTCCGGCCTCGAATTCGGGAGACTCGAAGTTCTTCTTTGCCAGCGATGCAAAGCCTACACCACCACCCCAAAGACCACCTATTCAGTCCAAAACCTCGAGTTTCTTTTACGCAAGCGGAGAGAATATCCCACAACAAACACAGAGCTCGAGTGCATCGGCCGTTGGTTCTACAGTGGGAGAGGAGCGTGCTCCAGCAAAGTTCTTTCATGCTAATGGTACTCCGGATCTTCAGCTATCACCTTCCCCCCATTTCCCTCCACCAAGACCGAGTTCTGTGGTCTCAAATTCTACACGTATGACATCACCTCGACTATCTACAGCAAGTCCAGGCACTTTATCACCCCCTCAGAGACCTCTATCCCCCACAAAGCTTAATCAACAGGCTTCAGTACCATCCTTGAGGAATACACCTTCTTTACCCTCTCCAGGTATACCCAGGCCCCAGCAAGTAGGAAGAGGCCAATCAGCGAATAATATAGTCTTACCTCGCAGACAGAGTAATGAGGCAGGGCAAAGAGTAATCAGTCATGGCCGATCCACAAGCACAGGCTCAACAGGACCAACACTGAGGAAAGTCTCAGGGGGGAGTTCAATGAGTTCAATCGAACCTACAACACCACTGCATATGGTTACAAAATCTGTCCCCATCTCAACCCCAGAAGAACAACCAGAAGAAAAGTTCAATGACAATGCACCTGAGCTTCAAAGCCCCATTAAAACTGGTCAGACATTAGACCAGCTCAACGAACTGGCCGCTAACGCGCGCCGGGAACGAAAAGTTTTGGATCTAGAAATTACAAATTCGTCGCTAGAAGCTATAAACAGGACCCTAGAGCGTGAAATGCGTAAGCAAACCGCGGAATTACGACGCTACAGACGCCTGTCCCGCTCCGGTCGACTCTCCATAGCTACTTCTGCCTCAATGCGTACCTCCACAACCCTATCTATGGATGGCATCGAAGGGGATGCGCTCAGTGACATGAGCGAAAAAGAAGAAGAGCAGGACGAAGACGAAGACGACTTCGAGATTGAAGAATCCTCCGACTCGGAATCCTCTCTCTCCCCAGCTGCAATGGCAGAATCCGATCTCCGCCACCGCAAAAAAGACGAAAAGCGCCTACAGCTCGATCTAAGCAAACACCAGCAATTGCTCATCGACAGTCAAAAGATGAACCAGAGTCTCAAACGGTGTTTGGGATGGACGGAGGATCTGATTAGTGAGGGGAGGAAAGCCCTAGAGTACAGTGTGAAGATTAGCGATGTCGAGCTTGGGGGACGGGTGCTGGCACCGGAAGAGGTGGGAGATAATGAGGGCATGAGCGACATCGGAGCGAGTTTGCTCAGGGAGGCGAGGGAGAGAATGGGTGCTAATGCGTGGGGTGGTGAGGGGAAGGATGATAGGGATAGTGGGATTGAAATCGATGGATCTCTGAAGGAACATGTCCCTCCGCCTTTACCTGCACCTCCGCCTCCATCTTTACCTCCATCCTAATCATAATCATAATACCCGATTTCAACGACAACAGGTCCGCGGAAGATGAGGAGCAGAAGAGAGGAGAGGCATTGTACGATACGACCCGGCAACACATACACACACCACTCACAGCACAGCACAGACTGTCTTTTTCCTATGTCACTCCACGGACGATCTGGCGTTTTCGGTCTCTCGGTCTGGGTTCGGTTTCGGTGCACAACTTTTGGGTTTTGATTTCGGTATCGGGGTTTTCCATATAACATGCATACAAGCATCGCAACCTGGCGTTTTACGGCGGCAAGGAAGCCTCTTCTTCCATTTCTTTTCTTTCTTTTTGCTTTTCTTTTGTTTTTTTGTGTGTTGTGTATAGCATAAAACGATACCCAAGGGCTTTTGATAGGACCAGTACCAGATGATGATAAAAAGAGAGGAGGAGAAGAATGGATAGATGGAAAGACAGGAAGGAAGAGAGAAGGAGGAATGGATGGATTGAAAGAAAGGGATTGATGGAGGAAGGGGAATGTGGAATTGGAATTGTATAGTAAGCTAGTTATATAGCTGAATTGAAAGCGGCATGAGCGAGCGAGCAAGAATGAGAATGAATGAAAGTAAAAAGCATGACTTAAATGTGCCCTCCACGCACTTGGTTTTATACCAAATAACTCTGTATTAAGTACTTCTTTGCTTTCTTTCTTTCCTCGGCCTCTACCACCAGTACCTACCTGGTTTAGGTAATATCCTTTGCTTTTAGTCTAGTGCTGATAAACTACAAGTATAGGTATATATACAGGGTTTCGTAATTTACATGCATTCAGTCATTACATTATAGAAAAAAATAGAATAGCACTATATACCTAACCTATCAGTATTGAAACTAATAATTAGTCCCCCCTTCTCCGGACAAACCGACTATTGGTGAAAGTCAAGTACTACAAGTAAGTATTTCTGAATCTAGAAAACCATACCTATGATGCTATCTTAAACTTACAGGCATATACGAGCTGGTATGGCACTCGACCTTGTAAAAGGAAAGTAAAAGAATTCGGGATATTGATTAATTATCCCACTCAGCCATAGCATATACCCCTCCTTCCCTTGTTTTGTAAAAACCTACGCCTCGGAATACCTACCTACATACCCCCTTCCCTTTCCGAAACACCTTGATACACATACGAGTAAAACCCATCAAACCCAATTAACATCAACCCCTCTTCCTAAACCGGAATTTCCCCTCCTCCTCACTATCCTCACTCTCGTCCTTCTTCCGCCCCAATACCGTCTGCCTGGCGCGCTTTACCGGCGCCGGTTTCGTCAACGTCTTCTCAGCCGCGCGTTTCTGACTTGGTCTGGGCTTCACGTTGCCCTTTTCCGCAGTTTTATCCTGTAGCTTCTGACTCCTGCTTCCTTTTTGCTTGACGATGGGCTCTTCGTCCTCGTCTTCGTCGTCAGACGAAAGAACTACCGTTAGAGATTTGGTTTTAGTCTTGGTCTGAGTCTTGGGTCGAATGTCCTCCACAAGGGGGAGATTGTCATCGTTATCGTCATCTTGATCAAGATTAACATCATCACCTTCAATCTCAGCCACCCTGCCTTTCCGTTGCGAGCGTTGCGATTTGGATTTTCCGATCCGTACGTCTTCTTCAACCCAGTACTCATCACCCACACCAGCAGCTTTACGCTTGACTTCCTCCAGCGGTACGATAGTCCGGCCCAAATCGCGCGCGTTGATGGCTGGCCCGCCTCTGCGGCGGAATTTCTTGAAGTTCTTGCGCCCGTTCCATCTGTCTTCCCAACGTTCACTATCATCTGCTCTGGGAGCTCTTGGTGCAGGAGCACTGCTACGAAGTTCTATTGTTTCGGTGATGGCGAGGGCTTGCAGTTCCGCGAGCTGGAAGCTATCCATGTTTACAACTTCCTTGTCCTGGTTTGCGAGTTCTTCAATCTTTTCGTGGCGAAGACGAGTTTTTTCTAGTATCTCGGCCTGTTCTTCCTTTTTGGTCTTCACCTTGACCGGCTTGGGGGGCGTTGCTTCTGCTTTCCGCTTGGGTGGTTCGGGGGGAGGGGGAGTGGATTCTCCTCGTCGATGACGGGCGACATCTTCTTCTACACGACGCTTCTTCAGGCGTGCAGCTGCCGGAGCCATGGTTTCAAAGGTGTCTTCATCGTCTTCGAAGATGGGTGTTGCTTTTCGTTTGCGGCTGGTTTTGGTCTGTGCTTCCGGAGTTTGAGAGGGTTCACGGTCCATGTTGAAGTCTGGATCTTGAGAGACGAAAAGACCTTGGGATTCGGGTTCGGCAGGGACAGAATTAATGGCCATAGACTCAGGGATTGAGTCCATGATTACGGGTGGATCGTCGTCGTCATCGAATCCTTTGAATCGGGGGACTGCTCTTCTACGCCGTCTTGATGGTTCGGGTTGAGAATCCGGCTCTGCGGGTGTTGGGTCAGGGGCAGGTTGCGGGTTTCGAAGGGTTTGAGAAACCGCAGTAGCTAGAAACTTTAGTAATTTTCAAGCTGGGGGTGGATAAGAGAGTGGAACTCTAAGAGAGTAGGACATGAATAGTCGACAAGAATAAACGTCACTTTCTCTTCAATACAGGTCAAGGAAAATACGTACCTGCAGATGGCGGAGGCGCGTAAACTCCAGATGCCTCCGGCTCTAGAGGTCTCCTAAGTACACTGGCGTTGTTGCCGAGTATAGCATCCAGAAACTCATTTTGCTCGATCAAACGGTGATCCAGATACTGAGCAACCTCGGTGCTGAATTCCGCAAACCACGTGGCATCCGCTCCCTTCACTGGGTTATACCGAACCACAACCACTCCCTTACCCTCACTGCCGTCCTCAAACTCTCCTAGGCCTTTCTCCCCAGCGACACTCTTTACATATCTGACAAATTCTTCCACGGTTGTTTGACCTGCAATTACAGTACCAAGCAAAGCTTTGCCACCTCCTTGTGTAATAGGCGGAAGGAGAGTATCAAATTGCCCTTGGTTATAGAAAATAAAGGTATAACCCTCAAACATATAATGGCGAGCCGGATCCGGACTATAAGCATCATCGGTCCGCTGAGTAGGTTCGTTCGCTCCTGGAGGAAGATATTGCTCAGGGTCGGGGAAACTATCAAAATCTTTTTCCAAAAGAGACATTCCTTCATCGTCGGGTGTAGTTGCGGCTACCACAGCTTTGATATACGAGTCGTTATGCACGATATATTTTCCGTCGATTAACGCCTGTAGTCCTTTGGACGTATTACGTTTCTTGGCGACAACATGAGTAGTGAGGCCTTTTTCAAACTCGATCAGGACTTTGATATCAAGGGGGCCGAGGGTTTCGTAAAGTTTGGTGAAGGGATCTATCTTTTGCTCTTTGGTGGTAAAGGAAAATGTAAATGTTACAGGAACCCATGTGAAGCTAGTTGGGGATTAGGATGAAGCAATTTTCAAATGTAGAGGGGAAATACAGAAAGTGATGCTCGTATTTTCCAAGGATTACTGTATTCTTGTCTTGATCGAGTGCAACGCTAGTGCCTCTGATCTGTTCTCCGTTCAAACGGGTACCAATTTTAGTATTTTGATCAGTCAACGTGATTCGAGACCGAGAACGAGCATTTGGCTTAAACTGGATTAGTGATGAAGGGTTTAATCAGGATAGGAAGCTTACACAGTCTCTGGGTCCGACAGGAGCAACTTCAATTATCAGGTGCTGCCTTGAGATGGTTTTATCGTCGACGAAGAATTGTCCTTTTACAAGAGTCAGTTCTAGTCATTTGTAAAAGGGCGTTATAAGATATACCTTCGGCTCTGGTTCTCCCAAAGATAAACTTCTTTCCGGGTCGAAGCCATAGCTTCTTGCCTACGCACGTGTCAGATGGAAGAAGGTAGAGGAGCGCAGTAGGTTAGGCAACACACCTTGGAAGACTTCATCATTCTCGATAACCCACATCCTCGATGACACTTGGCAAAATGTGGTGGGTTAGGATCTCATAGGCGGCGTCGAGCGCTGTCGTGTTGTTGCATGTTATTGGAAGAGCTGGGAGTCGTGTCGAGATATCTCGCGTCAGGCAGCATCCGCGGTGTCACGTGTGGCTGGTCGCCTGTGATTTGGAAATGTTTAAGTTACTTGATACTTATCTAATTGTAGGTTGTACCTATTATATTGCATTTGTTGAATATAGGGCCGATCTAGGCTTGTGTGTTCACAGAGCATGAGCAGACCAATCGTATCTACAACTTATACGTTAAGAATTGCGACAAAACCCAAACTCTGGGCTTTATAAAGTTTGATATTCATTACATGGATGGGTTCTCCATCTTTAAAGAACCATGCTATCTATCCTCCCAGCTTCATAGTGTTTCCAGCAGAAGTAGTGTTTCCTGAGCTTGCGCTCGCCTTCTCCAGTCTTGATATATACAACCTCAGCCCAACCAACCAGTTCCTTATTCAGCAGAATCTTCATACTCCATCTCAGCCATTGACCTGTCTCGCCCTCTCCTCCTGTGTCTTTTCTTCGTCTGGTGTTCTCGTGCGCAGCTGTAACGCATGAATCCCACCCTCCTTCTTCATCTCTTCATCCACCAACTTATACACCATCCGATGTCTGGCAGGTTGCATCTTGCTCTTGAATGCCTCCGAGGTGATAACGACGCGAAAGTGGGTTTCTTGTGAGGTGGAATCGACCATGGCTTTGTGGTGCGAGTGGAGATGCGAGTCGTTGTGGATTTCCAGATGGGTGGGGGAGAGGGACTCAGTGATCTGCCAAAGGTTGGTCAATATATAGATAGAGAAGATATATGTTAGAGGAATGAGAAATAGATACCTTTGTGCGCAAAGCGTCTTCCATTGGGGTTTGTGAGGCCATTATTGACATTGGGTGCCGTCGTACCAGAGGGAGCAATTGTCTGCGGAGCATCAAAGCGAAGACTGGCCACCTTACATAGCAGTCCTAGATGGATGCAAGAGTTGATACTACGCAAGATCTGTGAGGAAGGGGGTGACTTTCACAATTGTTGGTTTGTACTGTACCGCCTTGAAGTTATTTACCTATCGTCGGCACTTCTTCGCATTTTCTCGGACCCCATCCCCATCTCATCCCCGTCCGTCGATCGATGCCATGACGATCCAAGCTCGGCCAAAGATCTGGCTTCCTAGAACCCCCACCATGCATGTACTTTATACTGCACCACTCAAAATGATCCTGCCCCTGCCCCTCGGCATTAATTGACCTCTGATACAAGTAGCCTTTCCCTTCCTCTTTCCCTTTTGCGATGTTTCTGTCGCGGAAGGTCTATTCGCTCTTCTCCCAAAAAGCCTCCTTTCTTCTTCCCAAGTCCAAGTCCATTTATACGAGACCAATTGCTTCATCTTTATCACATACAGCCAGCAGGATGCACTCAACACTTCCCCGTCTCCCCGTCTTCGAAGCAATAGCCAGCCACGACCGGAGTTCCCCCGTAGTCATCCATTCCCAATCCGGGCGACGCTTTACCTACGGCTCCCTGTTGCACGATGTAGCAGATGCGAAGGAGAAGCTGTTGGCGGAAGCGGGAAGGAATACGATTGAGGGGGAGAGGATAGCGTTTCTAGTAGAAAATAGCTATGATTATGTGGGTCGGTTTTGTTCACTGTTAGGAATTGCAGAATAAGAAGCTGATTGTGTTTCTAGTAACTCTACTTTCTATCCTGGGCACTCATGCTATTGCTCTGCCTTTAAGTGCTGCGTTCCCGGCGGCTGAGTTGCAATATATACTGGATCAGAGCCAGGCAAGCATGCTGCTTTCTTCCGCGAAGTTTGGTGAAAAGGCACAGCAGGTTATTGAGAAGGGATTAGCAGTTGCGCCGAAGCATGTCAAGTTAGAAAAGAGGTTCGGCGCGGAGGTAAAAGGGGATGTCACGTTGGAGGAGTGTGAGGAGGGGAAAGGCGGGATGATGTTATATACATCGGGGACTACTAATCGACCAGTAAGCTTTCCCTCGAGTTCATTCGAATCAATACCAACATCTTCCAGAAAGGAGTTTTACTCCCCCAAAGAGTAATGACGGCACAATCCCAATCCCTAGTAACAGCATGGAAATATACCCCCGCCGACCATCTCCTCCACGTCCTCCCCCTGCACCATATCCACGGCACCATGAACGCCATCCTAGCCCCCCTCCTCGCCGGCTCCACAATTGAGTTCCTCTTCCCCTTCAACGCAACCCAGGTCTGGTCACGCTTCGCCTCCCCCTTCCTTCCCTCCCCAAAGACGACAGAAAACATAACCTTCTTCACCGTCGTCCCAACAGTCTACAACCGACTCCTCGCCACGTTCTCCGACCTCCCCCCAGAAACGCAAACAGCAGCAAAAACAGGAATCTCACCCGAAAACCTCCGCCTGGCGATCTCAGGTTCCGCCGCCTTACCCACACCAACGAGAAAGGCATGGACAGACCTCTCCTCCGGTAATGTACTCCTAGAACGCTACGGCATGACAGAAGTCGGCATGGCGCTCTCGTGCGGCCTATCCCACACCACCCGACTAGACGGCAGCGTCGGCTTCCCCCTGCCATCCGTGCAAGTGCGTCTCGTAGATACGGACACGAACGAGATCATCCAACTCGGCGAGGAACTCGACGCAGCTGGCAAGGAAAGGGACGGCGAGATTCAGCTGCGCGGTCCCACGATCTTCAGCCAGTATTGGCGCAATGAGAAGGCGACGAAAGATGAGCATGTGGCTGGTGATGATGGGCTGGGGCCGTGGTTCAAGACGGGCGATGTGGCGGTTCGACGAATCATCGATACTTCCTCATCTTCCTCTTCCTCTTCACCATCCTCTTCATCATCCTCTTCTACTAATCAAGATCAAGATCAATATCAAGAATGGGCACAAGGACCCATGTATTTCATCCGCGGCCGGAAATCCGCCGACATCATAAAATCCGGCGGCGAGAAAGTCTCAGCGCTAGAAGTAGAGCGCGAGATGCTCGCTCTGCCACAGATCGCCGAGACGGCCGTAGTAGCGGTGCCGAGCGGGAACTGGGGACAGAAGGTCGGCGCTGTGGTTATGCTGAAGGAGGGCGTGGGTCGGTGGACGGCGTTGGATTTGCGGAGGGCGTTGAAGGGGAGGTTGGCTGGGTATAAGATCCCGCAGGTTATGAAGGTCGTGGATCATATCCCGAGGAATGCTATGGGGAAGAGTACGTTATCTATCTTAACTATCTTCTTTCACCAATCCCCTCCCCCTTCTTTCTTGATTTTGGTTTAAAAATATGTCCTAATGCTGATTGAATGTGTGAATAGTTAATAAGAAACAACTGGTCAAGGAAGTATTTGCGGATCAGACGAGTGGGGACGAGGCATAGGTAGGTAGGTGGGCATTATGTAGATCGTACAGTGTACAGAGCAGAATATAATTGTCAGAGTGTATATACAAATAGGTCGCATGAACATAGCAACACATTTCATGTCTATATACTTGCAAGATTTTAAGCAACCTGTGGAGAGCCATGTCTGAACACTAGTAAGAAGTTGTTGCCCTTCCCTTTGGAATAGAGAAAATGGACCTTGCCTCGCCACAATCGATAAATTTCTGTGAGCTTTTATTTTTTCAATCTGCGAGGCAGGGTATATTGATCAACTTTTATTGCTCCTCGATCTATGAACACGGTAATAAAATCCTTGCCACAACGCCAGATGAAAGCCCTCCCTGATGAGAAAAGAGCTGGCCCAGCACATGCTAGCCCTCGAAGCTAGCTAGCTTACGCATGAGGTATTCATGAATCTCATTCCCCCAATCCATTCCATTCGCATGCAATGCTATCATCTCGATGAAAATCAACCATCAAAGTAAAGTAAATCTATCGACCGACACAAAGACAGCGCACTTATACTGTATACTTGGCCTTCGCACGAGTACTTCCGCTATGAGCGCTATCAGTGTGACCAGAGAACTCCACCACCTCTGTCGCAGGCAACTTAAGCACCTCCTTGAATTTGCGACCGATGTTCATGAGTACCTCCTTGCCCTTGTCCGTAGATCGTCCCTTGCCACCTGCAACATCGCCGTCGCCGCCACCTGGAATGCTCTTGCCGATTGTACGGGTCCAGGCACCGATACGGTAGAAACCCTTGCGGACATTGACAACGACGCCCATGAGCTCTCCATCACCTTCCTCTTCGAGCGTCTCGCCGATAGCCGCGAGCATGACGTGCAGCCAGAGCTCGTCGATCGGGACGTTGCGCTTCTCCTTGAATTGGTAGGACCACTTGCCGCCGTGCTTGTTCTGGACGTCCTCCCATTCTGGACGTACGCCTTCCTTGAAGAGATGGTAGTCGGATTTGAGGGCCAGTTCGGAGGTGGGAGCGATGTTGTTCTGGGAAGGTTAATTAGCTTGTGGATTTGCGAGAAATAAGCCATTTTAAAAGCATACGTAGACACCCCAAAATTCCTCGACCGAGTTAAAGGTGATGACTTCCTTCAACAGATCATTCCAGTTGTCGCCCTACAAGAAGTCAGTGGGAGTCAAAGAGAATGCGCCAGAAGACATGGGAGTAGAACCTTTCCACTAGGTGGCTTGGTGAACCACAAAGTCCACTTGTGCATCAGAGGATGCTTGACATTGAAGTTATCCTTGTCGTGGAAAACGGTTATCTGTTCCTCGCCAGTGGCAGCATCGCTATTGGGCTTCTTGTTCTCATCGAGGGGGCCATCAGGAGAGATGGGAATTGTGGAGAGGTCAACGGGCTCAGAAGCTGCGGCGGCGGCCATGATGTCTATTATTGATCGATGTCCGGTGATTAGATTTTTGCCAATGTCTCCGATAGGATTTCAATCCTGGGTGTCAAGTGAAGAGGAATGAAGTGTTGGGCAGAGTATTATGGTCGCGTGGTGGGGCCGCAGAGAGCGAATTGCAGGCGCGAGTGGGAGATTAAGTGGAAGAAAGAAGGACGAGAGTTCGTCTATGGAGATGTGGTAGTTGCGACTATGCACCGGGCAGTTAGTCGTAGGTTGATGTGGTTTGAGGTTGGTGTTTTTGGTTTGCAGATTGAAAGTTGCAACTTCTCAAGATTGAAGCTTTTCGATTATTAGCGCCTCATGTATGAGGCGAGAATAAGGTTTTAGAGCCAACAAGGTCACGTTACTATAATCAAATGCCATTCTTATTTTAGAATTTAGAGGAAACGTTCAAGAATGGGGAAGCATTTCAATTAGGGAAATGATTTCCCTTCTACGTGTTGGCGTTATATCTACAGAAGGGTTCAAATGATAAGTACATTACCAAAAGTTGACGATACTAGTTTAATTGGTATTATGCTATAAGCGTTGCTCATGGTAGACAGCTTAGCAAGATATAAAGATATATAATGATAAAAAATTGCTCATTGATGATTTGTCCATATTGAACTCCAGTCCCCAATCTATCAAGTGTTTCCTCTTAAGATTAGCTTTAAGAGCACTTGCATAAAATGGTGTTGGCGCCTTAAGCACCCACTACTACATAGTCTCCTTCCACACTTCTTACAATGCAGCCACACCTCAACTTACATCGCGAGTCTTCGATTCTCACACGTGGGTTTCAAAATAGTCCGTACATATACTGAACAGCACTAGAAAGAGTAGCCCAAGTAAAAAATGTCTTGAACCTGGATATTGAGACAGAAGCACATTACCCAAGGTGACAGATGTCATATCTACATTCTTTCGTTCACAGAGACAGAAGTACATGTGTGGGTAGAGAGGATGGAATGTTGGAGTCCTGTGGGAAGTGAGTGGTTCTTGTGGTTGGGTACCGTAGTAAGAATAACAGGACTAGGATATTGGCAGATGGTGAAGGTGTTGGTAAACACAAAGAATTTTATTCATCTATAAACAAAAAAAAGTTTGGTGGGATGTATACCTCTTGTTTCTTCTAAAACGCCAAGAACTCCTTGCTTCCGCTTTTGCTGCACTATACAGCTGTACAGATCCTTTATATATCAGACCATCGCCATGTTTCTTCTCTTCTCTTCTCGATCTAGAAATCCAACCCACCATGCATGATCTTTTTACTTATTCCACCACCTCATCAGCCTCAATTTTCTCCTCAATTTTCTTCCCCCCCTGACTATTCAAGAAGCTCAAGTAGCAATTCCAGCCCAACGACACAACATTAACAACCAGCACCCGATGATGCAACGGCACCAGCTTGAAATTCACCGCCTGAATAACAGGCCACACCATCCAATTCTTCTCTAGGGCATTCCAGTAAGTGCTCTCCAATTTGTCCTTCGGCGACGTGCCCTCCATGATCGCCATGCTGCTCAGGAAGACGAACAGGTTGGTCGAGGCGAAGATGGTCTGGTCGGCTGCGACGCGTGCCACGATCTCGGCGTTCTTGTTGCGCAGCACGATCTTGTTCTGCAGGAATTTGAACCAGGTTGTTGCGGCGGGGCCAAAGATTGCTGTGGCGATTGAGTTAGTTGGGATTGGCTATGGTAGGATATTATCTCGGGGGAGAAAGGGGGGAGGGTATGTACCTCCTCCGTACAAGGCCATGCGTCCTGTACGTGCCAGCTCGTGGTTCTTCAATCCCTTCTTCTCGACGAGCTGCTGAGCCATCGTGTCGCCCGTTGCAAAGAGGACTGCGGTTGTGATGCTCTGGGTGAGCAGGGGGCTCGTGGCCAGCTTTCTTTGGTACCTGAATGCATACATACACCATTAGCATTGTTATCGGGCGTGCAATGCAATCAGAGTCAATTGTCTTCTCTTTACAAATAACAACTTACCAGCGCAACATCTTGGCTGATGCTTTCTTGTGACCGGAGATGGAGTGGTGGGATGGTTTTGCTGGAAATTGAATGTGTGACGTTGAAAATGTTTAAGAAGGATTGAAATGTTGAAGAAGCAGGGCAAGCTACCCATGTCCATGCTAGCGGCCGAATAGGGGGCTCTTCATGGGATGGGGATTCGGGAACCCCACAAATGGCAGTTTTGGAAGATCATTAATCCGATTGTGTGTGAGAACTGAGACTGAACTGATAAAAACCCGAAATTATTTTTAGATTTAAAGACACAAAAAAGAATTACATTTGAGAATTTATTCGGGCTAGACTCCTATGACGTATTTGTCATTATGAGAAAGTTCCTAACAAAAAAGATGCAATATTTATATCATCATTGACTAACCCTAAAGTTCAATAACTCTCAACCACCCCTCTATCATCAGCAATACCCGGAACCCAACCCTTCGGCCTTTCCCTCCCCCCTAATAATCAAGCCATAAACCGCACTCTCAACCTTCTCCACACACGTCTTCATAACCTCCATCTTCTTCTCCACATCCTTCCCCAACCCCGTCCCCCCACAAGACCCCGTATCCAGCGCCTGAAAACACGTCCTCAACTCCCTCAAATCAACAAGAACATCCCTTCTCCCCCCATCACCTCCTCCTCCAGGCAAAGACCCAGTAGTAGCCATAGCCGTAATAGCAAAGCGCATCAGTTCCCCCACCAGATCAAACAGTCCAAGCACATAATCATCACCAGTCAGCTCAATACCCTCCTGTAAAGTCCCTGCTGCTTCCGAGATGGTAATGAGACGTTGGTGCTTCAGATAATGCTCGAACGAAACAGCTTCCATGTATTCCTGGATCCCGCCTGAGATCTGCCGCTGGTAGCGCCAGGCGTTGATGCCTGTGAGATCTGCCGCGATGGCCGAGAACTGTTTCTGCATCGCTGTGTAGCGCTCTGCGGTCTCCAAGGCAATCTTGGGTGGGATGTCTGATTTCAAGGTCCGTACTCTATTATTTCAGACGGTCTGTTAGAAGTGGTTTGGTGATGGAGATGGGTTTTGAAAGGGCACGTGATTTTGTAGGTACCTTTGGAGGGAGAATATACTGGTTGGAGTCAGTTGGTTGGTTTGAGAGTTTTGAGTGTTTGGGGGAGGGGGGACTTGCATCTTTTTACTCGCTGCTGTGATGTCTCGTGAAGCTTTAATGATCCTCTCTCTGCGATCATGGTGCTCGTCAAGCTCGTCTCGGAAAGCCTCGAACATGGGCATAAAGGGTGACGCATTCACCTCTTTTTCCTTCTTGACGCCATTGTGATCTCTCTTGATTCCTGACATCTGCTCGGACATGGACTCTGACTCTGACTTTGATTGAGGATGTGAAGTGATGGAGAGTTCGCTCATGGCTTCTGTTGGTGGTAGTGGCTCCATTTTTGAGGTGTGGCTGGTGGGCAGGGTTCAATTGAAGCTAAAGAGCTCCACGTCCAACGCGTCGACCTTTTGATATCAGAAAGTTCTAAATCCCATCCCCTCAGAAAAATAAAAACCAAGCCCCAAATGTCTATCTAAAAACTACACTCCTTAATCCCCCATCCACATTCACTTAATCCCTTCTTCACCACCCCCAAAAAAGAAAAGAGCAATGCCCCCCTTCTTCTCCCCCCTCCCCGTCTTCACATCCGCTATCCTCCTCCGCACCACCCTCCTCTTCTACGGCCTCTGGCAAGACGCCCACTCGCCCCTGAAATACACAGACATCGACTACAACGTCTTCACCTCGGCCGCGTCCCTCGTCACGCAGCACCGCTCGCCCTACGACCGCGACACGTACCGCTACACGCCGCTGCTCGCATGGCTGCTCGTGCCCACCACAAGCACGAGGTGGTGGTTTAATTTCAGTTTCGGAAAAGTGTTATTTGCCGCTGGCGATGTCGTAGCGGGCTGGTTAATTGTGCTGGTATTGACGAGGCAGAAGGGCATGCAGATGGGTAGGGCCCTGAGGTACGCGAGTATCTGGCTGCTGAACCCGATGGTCGCGACGATTAGTACGAGGGGCAGTTCGGAGGGCCTGTTGGGGGTGCTGGTGGTGGCGCTGCTGTGGGCTGTTATGGGGAAGAGGATTGGACTTGCGGGGTTTTTGTTGGGGCTTGGTGTGCATTTTAAGATTTATCCGTTTATTTATGCGCCTTCTATTGTTTGGTGGTTGGATGAAGAGGAGGTTGGAAACGAAAAGGAAAAGGAAAAGAAGAAGGCAGAAGGGGAGGGAAAGGGAAGTGGTGGTGTTTTTGGAATGGTCTGGAGGTTTTGTAACGCGGCTAGGATTAAGCTGGCTGTTGTAAGTCTACTTACTTTCATGGGATTAAATGGGCTTATGTACTCGATGTAAGTCCATCATCCCATCCTCTCCACTTCCCCCCAAAATACTAACAGCACGAAAGTTACGGCTGGCCTTTCCTCCAACATACGTATCTCCACCACGTAACACGGATAGACCACCGGCATAACTTCTCCCCCTACAACACCCTCCTCTACCTCTCCTCCTCCACATCCTCTGCATCCTCATCCCCATCTTTCCCCTCCTCATCCCTGCACCTAGAATCCCTGGCCTTCATCCCGCAACTCTTCCTCTCAGCCATCGCTCTCCCTTTGCTCCTAGCAAAGAAAGACCTACCCTCGACAATGCTAGCACAGACATTTGCATTCGTATCCTTTAACAAAGTCTGCACAAGCCAGGTACTTCCCCCCCACCTCTCCTTTCCCTTCCCTTCTCGTACTTTCCTCCCCCCATCACCCACACATCTTCTCTCACTAACCTCCCCCCCTAAAAGTATTTCCTCTGGTACCTAGTCTTCCTCCCCCTCTACCTGCCCACCTCGACCCTCCTCACGCACCCCGCGCTAGGCCTGCGCGCCGCCTTCCTCTGGGTCGCCACGCAGGGTCTATGGCTCCAGCAGGCGTTCCGGCTAGAGTTCCTAGGCATCAGCACCTTCGTGCCGGGTCTGTGGGTGTCCAGCTTACTGTTTTTCTTGTGCAATGCGTGGGTGTTGGGGATTATAGTGGGGGATATTGGAGGGACTGAAAGGGAATCGGCAACGGCTATATCAACATCTACAGGTACAGGTACAGGCACAAGTACTTCCTCACCACTGCCAATGTCAATGTCAACGTCGAAAGCAAAATCACAATCTCAAGCATATGTAAAATAAGATAGAAAGAACGAATTTAAGATGAATGAAAGAGAGAGAAAACATCACTCCTTGCTTAATCCATTCATTCATTCAAACTCCGTGATCTGCCTATCTAAACGCCGTTATGCTCAAACGTATGTGACCGAACGAGGAAACTCCAGATTATGCCAGCCATGCAAGCAACTCAACTCCGTCGCTGTATTACAATCCAGCTTATTCCGACTTATGACATGCACCAGGTTATATGATCCGACACTCCGTCCCATCCCGCAAATGCACAAATGCAACCTAAACAAAACAAAACAAACAAGTAGATTCTCGAGCCGGCGCCATGAAAGCAAAGCAAAGCAGATGAGATTAATTAGAAAAGAGAGAGAAAGAGAGATTTCTCGGGGTATCATGAAATCGTAATCCCGCTGTTGAGCGAAGCATAGCTCGAGACTTTAATCGACAACGGCCTCGTCTTGGAGAACGTAGGCGGAGCCAGCAACTGTCCGTCTTTAAAACCAATGTCGCCTAGGTATTCGGCTTTCTCGAGGAAGGAGGCACGGGGTCGGGTTTGGGCAAGAGTGTCGATTATGGTGTCGCTCCAGATGCCAGTACATTGGTTGTTCTTGAGCTGGAAATAGGGGTTTAAGGCTGGGACCTGGGAATCTGAATTCGTTAGTTTTGAACGAGTGGTATTTTTACTTGAATATAAAGACTTACCGAGATCGAGAACCGGATTCGAAGGTAGTTCAAGGCTTTAAGCCGCTCTAATGACTTTACTCCTGCAAGAACCAGTGATTCGAAAGCTAAGATGAATGACATGTCCGTGATGCCTGACCCATCATTCCAAATGAAAGTCGGTCTACACACGTTCTTAACAATGAGGTCGATGCTCTTTAATCGTGACTCTCGGGGATTCGATAATCTTGCTCCTTGATTGAAAAAGCACCCGCAGATCCGTCCCGTAAACGCCAGATGCTCCAAGGTTGGAAGCGCTTTTGCCAACTCTTGGCAGAGATGCGCTTTTGCGTTTACCTTTTTAACGAACAGAGGGGACACGGCCTCCCTTCGATAATCTGCTTCTATGCAGATGTTCAGGTGTGTGAGGAATCGTGGGAGGTTTGGGACGATCGTAGACATGGAAATGTACGCCTTCGACTTTGGTCTTGCATAGGAACCATGCCACTCTTGGAGACTTGGTAGTGCAGCCGCAATATGTTGAAAATCTTCGTTTTCTCTGATGAGATTCCACTGTCCCTTGCAAACAAGGGTTCTGACCTGTGGGAGAACCGGTAGTGATGTCGTGTTCTTGCTGAAATGCCGCACCATCGGAGGCTTTTTCCTGTCTCCGCCTTCCAGGGTCAAAATACATGCCATTGCGAATGTCAACCGGACGAATAGAAACACCTCATATAGACTACAATTATTCGACGGGCTTTGGTAGGTAACGTTTGTGTTTGTGTTGTCTGCTAAAGCAAGTGATCGAATCAACACGGATCGGTCTGGCGAGGGAGTTCGATGCGTCCGGTCAAAGGCTGGGTTCTTTTGCTGAAATACAGGAAACCATATTTCAATGTGCTTAACGTATGAACAGAGGTTCGGGTGTTCGTGGAACCAGTAGGAGGCTTGGTCCACAGACTCTCTCGTCCCCTTGATCTTCAAATGTCGATAGAGCCGCTCTTGTATCAATTCCCTCCACTTGCTTGTCACTAGAGAAAGTTGTGCAACTTCTCGTCGCCTCGAGTGTCTCAAAGCCGACCCCCATCTGCGCAAAGCTTTCGATCCTCCTGCCGTGGGAGCCCTGGAAGATGTTGAAGCCCGGACTCCGAAGATGTGATCGAGGATACACTCATGGATTTCGCCTGGAAGCTGTCGAAAGGTAGCATTCGAAGACGCCGCGGGTATCGAAAGGGCGGTAGTGTCCAGACCAAACCTATCTGCATCGTTCGACCGCTGCGAGCACTGAATATCCCCCTCTACCATATATGCCTCTGGAAATGGGGTGCTCATAGGCCGTAACGGAGGCACAATACCGTCCTCATAGTCCTTGACCATCAGTCTCTCCAGAGGGGAGGGAAGTGACGATACTGTCGGGGTTGAGGGTCCAGGTGTTGCAGGTGTGCTGGCCGTGGTCAAGAGATGGAGCGTGTGATTGGGCCCTGCCTCATCGATACGGACGTCCTGCGAGGGATCTGTGAAGGTTGTAGCCATCCTTCTCTTGGGCATGCACTGATTTCAGGTTGAATTTGTGCGAATATTGGAGTTCGTCATAGACTCTTTATTCGCTGGATTTGTCGCTAGATGTCTCAAACGTCCTGGTGCCCCAATCGCCAAAAAGTCCTCTGTGGCTAGAATATCTCTGCGAAAACTAAACAGCGTACTGGGGGAACAGAGCCGCAATTCGGAGGATGGAGGAAGATGCCGTTTCGCGGATTACTCGTATCTTGTCGTTGTTGGACTGCAGATATGGAGGCGGAGAGGATTACCGATGAGTGGGGTGCGGGTATCTTTAATCGGTAGTGGATTGAATGGGATGGGATGGGAACTGGGGAAGAGAAGAGAAGTGAGGAATGGAATGGAATGGGATGCGACTATGTTGGAGGTTGTTATCGGCCGTAGTTAGAAATTGTAGAAAGGAAGGCATTCATGCCATGCCACGCAGTACAGTGCAATTTAACACGACGCTCCACCTGAATCAATGAGTGAGGCTGAGCTGTCTTGGTATGGTGTCAAAATCGTCACCCCACATCACGTTATGTGTAAGTACGTGGTTGGCTTCTTTCTCTCTTGGCTACCAACTTCCCCGGACTTTGCTCTAGTACTGCTCATAGTCTGTGGAGAAGCACTGTGTTATCGATACCTCCGTATATCATCAATCTCCAGCCTCATTCACAAGCAGATGGTTGATGCAGGAAGGTTTCACGTGATTAGTCATTCGACGGACGCCGCGGGTATGCAACGGGCATTGGACTTGTATGACCTAGCATGGGAAAGCTTGACTTTCTCGCTTTTCTAGTAGGAACTTAATATAGGATGACAATAGAGAGTTTAGACTTCAGCTTTGTTTCATCCTGCACTGATAATTAGACCAAAGTATCGAGGTCCTTTCAATGATGCTTCATACCAAAGTCAAAGTCCGTTTTTGGAATAGCCATGCCACACCCCCCCCTCACCGGCACTCGCCTGCAACTTGCCTACCAAGTACAGTATGGTCTCAGTAAAACTTTAGCTTCCTAAAGTAAAAGCACTTTGGTTGAAGGAAAGATATTTAATATCAAATGGCAGGCTCACCATAATTAACGCAAAGTCATATCGGATTCTCCGCAGCACCGGGAGATAAGAGCCAAGCTTTCCAAGCTTTCCCCTCGCGGCGAATCAGTCGCATCCCCGGATATAACCATACTGCATGCAGACCAGGCGAGCCAGGCTGACCCTTGACTGCCATGCGAACTACTTCTTCTCAACTGCCACTTTGAGTCTGGGCAGGGCAAGGTATGCGGCTCAGGTACAGTGGGAATCCGCGCCCGCCACCGATCTATTGCCCTGTTGGGGAGGTCGCAGAAACAAACATTTGGAAGTCCTGGTCGTATATGCATCTCATGACGATGATGGCTCACAATGGAGAATCACGAAAGTTCCACCCCGCATGTCGTGAAATGAGACAGACCATGTATAAGATAGATAGCTCTCCCCATGAAAGGTAGCTTGGAATTTCATCTCGAGTCCTCTTCCCAAGTTGAGACCTCCTGTCCTGTCAAGCAATCATGCGGGCCGTCAATTCCCTCCTTCTGCTCCTTGCAGCTTCACTCACTGAGGCCGTGGAAAGTCCACATAACAAAGCTGCAAAGTATGCAAAAAGGGCAAACCCACCTGTTCTGACAAAGGATGCGCCTCGCAAGAGAGACACTTCGCAATTCTTGACAAACACAACATCCAGTACGTTTTTGAACCCTCCAATGGGCCCGGTCGATTTCAAACTAACTCTAGCATAAAGAGTTCGCGGTCAATGGAAGTGCCCTCCCCGAGATCGACTTCAACATTGGTGAAAGTTACGCTGGAACCCTTCCAATTAGCGCAAACTCCAGTGATCCTAATCAGTTATGGTTCTGGTTCTTCCCGTCCTCGAACCCACTGGCCTCGAAAGAGATCACAATATGGCTGAATGGCGGTCCTGGTTGCAGTTCCTTGGACGGCTTATTTCAAGAAAATGGTCCTTTTATCTGGCAATCGGGCACTTATGCCCCGATCTCGAACCCCTATTCCTGGACGAATTTGACCAATATGATTTACATCGATCAACCAGTCAGCACTGGTTTCTCTCCTGGGAACATTCTTGTCAACAATGAGCATGATGTCGCTGAGCAATTCAAGGGGTTCTGGAAGAACTTTATCGATACCTTTTCCTTGCATGGTTACAAGGTGTATATTACTGGAGAGTCCTATGCTGGGCAGTATATTCCCTACATTGCTTCGGGCATGTTGGATACAAATGATACCAAATACTTCAATGTGAAGGGTGTCCAGATCAATGACCCTTCCATCAACGAAGACTCTACAATGATCTATGGTGAGTAAGACACTCTCCTTGAAATACGTTTGCTAACAAGACCAGCTCCTGTCGTGCCAGCCCTCAAATATTACCAGAATGTAATTGGTCTCAATGAGACGTATATGGCTGGAATCGAAGCTCGTGCCGAGTCATGCGGCTTCACAGCCTTCCACGACAAATGGACATCGGAATTCCCTCCCTCCGGTCCAATTCCCACCGCCCCAGACTGGACCGTAACAGGCTGTGATCTTTATGACGATATCTATAACGCAATGTAAGGACAACCGGTTTTTCAAATTATACTCCCTATCTCATATCCTCAAATATTTCCTAAAACGGAAACTTATTATCCCTCTGCTCTCAAGACACCATTAAGTAGAATACAACTAACCCTCGTCATACAGTTACTACGTAAACCCATGTTTCAACATCTACCACCTAACTGACTATTGCCCCTTCCTCTGGGACGAACTCGGATTCCCATCCCTCGGCGCCGCCCCAACGACTACTTCAACCGCAGCGACGTGCAAGCCGTAATCCACGCCCCGCCCACCGACTACTACGTGTGCGGCGCCGGCCCCAACCTGTTCCCGCACGGCGACCAATCCGTCCCCTCAGCCCTGGGCCCCCTCGCCTCCGTCATCGAGCGCACAAACAACACGATTATCGGGCACGGCCTCCTCGACTTCCTGCTCTTCTCCAACGGCTCCCTAATCACCATCCAGAACCTGACTTGGAATGGGCTGCAAGGCTTCCAGGCCCCCCCGTCCTACACCCAGAACTTCTTCGTGCCGTACCACCAGTCCCTCGGCGAGATCCTGGACTACGTCAACGGTGCCGTGCCCAATAGTCCCGTGTTCACCGATACGGCTGGCGCGGGGTACCAGGGGACTTGGCATACGGAGAGAGGACTGACGTTCGTGACGGTTAATTTGGCCGGGCATGAGATTCCGCAGTACGTGCCCGGGGCGGCGTATCGGCAGTTGGAGTTTCTGCTAGGCAGGATCCCGGATCTGTCGACGCAGGGGGATTATACGACGCAGACGGGGAATTTCACGGGGACGACGCCGCCGCTGAAGAAGAGGGGTGAGGGTTGGATTGTCTAATGTCTAAACCATGTGAAATATAAAAGTTATAGGATACGTGTATATTTTGGATATTGTTTGGACTGACTAATTATATACCGACCAACGTACTTACTCTTCTTGATCTTCGCTGAAACTCTGGTGTCCACACTTGTGTCTTGCTAGCAACGTACACAATAGGCATATATAAGTTGCGTATACGTAAAATACAAGGTTCAAAGCAATATCCTACCTACAGTACGTACTACTCACTCATAACCACCCTCCACGTTCCCAGCTCAAATCACCCACACGCCTTTTAAATAGAGGGAATTGGAATTCCTCGAGTTGGTAATTGACGTGCAAATCTCGGCCTGTCACTCGAGCACCCACGTTTAGATTAAGCAGCAACGAGACGCAAAGAAGAAGTTCGAAACAGGAAAGTCCCACCAGGTCGAGCATCAAAAATCCCCCAATGACCCCAACGTGTATGTCCGCATTCCAACGCACATCTCTTCATATAGAAAACGTAAGAGAATCAAGCATCGTCTCATCACTGAGCAAGTGCAATCGATATCAGCATTTCTCGGCACAAAAAACAGTCATTGAGTGACTGAATTGCAATTTGACATCCATGCTAGTTCTTCATCCCCGCATGTCACGCATGTATACTTACTGGACATATATTCAGGTAGCTTGAAGCCAACATATATCCTGTCCCCACTCTGTGAAAATGCCATGTCATTAGTCTGTTCCTCGACTTGTTATGTCGTCGATACCCCAAATGTGGGCACCTATTAATATACAATCCTTCGCTTGCTAAGTACCCATTACCTGGAAAAGTTTCTCGATTTTGGAAACGTAAATCATACTACAACCTGTATAGAAGACATTATGGTATAACAAAGACAAAAATGAAAGTATAATTCACAACTCGATGTGGTCGTGTTGCTGTACAATGGCTTCAGCTACCTCGCCGCCTTGTTGGTATTTTGGGAAGAAATTCCCATTTCGGAGCTCGTTGAATGCGATATCGAAACGTGCTCCGGCGAGCCATGCGATGCCGATCTGAAGAGTGTTAGGGGTAATGACTTGCGTTGGGGGAGGTACTTACCATTGCTGTTGAAATCACAAAAAGGGTGCACATGACTGCGATTAAGAGATACAATATATCTTTCTTCGCCTCCTCATGCTCAGCCTGCACCTTTGCATCCGCGGGAGTAGCAATCTCTTCCTCATTATTGTATTGCCTAGTTAGAGCCTTGGGGTCTTGCGTTGGGTAGATAGATTCGATGAATTGCTCGATCTATGATTATTAGCAATGTTCCCATGGGGAGGTAAAGATTACAAACCTTTCCACACGCGATGCTGATCTCGAGGAAATTTGGATCTGTTGGGTTGTTCTTCTTGCTGATCCTCCGCGCATATCTCTTGAAGACATCGCAAACAGTTCGTAGGTTCTGTGAGGCCTCTATCATCAATTGACAAGCATCTCCCTTTGTAATCTTGACAACTCCCGTAAACACCTTGGGATTCTGAAAGACCAATTCAAGTGTCGCAATCGCCATGACTTGAGGGATAGCAACAAAGTTGAATACTGATTGATCTTTGATTCCCGCCATGTAGAAGAGGCACTCATCGGCTTTTTGAATCGCGTTGAGTACCATCTCTGATGTACAATTTAACGCTGCCTTTACGTTCTTGGGATTGAATAGGTCCTCGAAGTTGGTGACATGTTTGGACCAGATTTCCTTGGGGTAAAAGCGTCTCTTGTCGTGATAGTCTTCTTGGAGATCACGGATGATATTTGTCTTCTGCAAGAATTGACCCATAGATTCTGACAGCTCTGGGCGCTGGAGAAGGGCGGCATTCGCCAGTTTGCTTTCGACAAACAGCCTCGTACAACCCTCACCGACCAATCCCGCAACATAATGGCAATACAATTCGTAGTCCTTTATAGTATCCACACCATTTTCGTTGAACTCGGCGTTGTTTGCGTAATCCGCCATTCCATCGCCCATCTTCTTGGTTATGTCTAAGATGATCTTCTGGTAGACAGGCTTGATCAGTTTGAACTCAGCAATAACGACGTCAAAGTGGACAAGTAGTTCGCGATCCTTCTCATCAGGGCCGTTGCCATTAAAATTCCAGCCGTCTTGGAACATAATCTTATCGAAATCGCGTAGCAGCGGCTCCTTCTTTGGTAGTGGGATAGTCATGTCATCTTCGATTGTATCGAGACCGCGAAGGACGAGGTAGAAGATGGCGACTGGGACGAGTAGTTCAGGATTGAGCTCTTGGATGACGGAGCTGAAGCTTCGACTTGTCATGTTGAGGTAGTAGAAGCATTGTTTGAGATTTTCTGTTTCCTTATCGGGGTCGCGACTGTTTACTGGATCATGCCATAGCTTCCTGGAGGAAATTAGACGTGATTCGCATAGCTGAGGGGACAAGAATCACCATTGGATTATGGATCTCAACTGGTTTGGATGGACCGCAAGGTACAAGAGGTCGTTGATTTTGACCATGATGGCGAGAGGGAATAGCAATTGGTAGGAGGATAGGAGACAGGTGGGAACCAAGGTAGGAAGATGGCGGGTGGTGGGTGGTTGAAAAGGGAATTGGGAGCAGAATTTGAAAAAAAAAAATTCACAAAGCGTTTGTCATTGTCTGACGGACAATTGAGACGATGCGATAGAACTGGTATGAGGCTCGGCAGGGCGAGATATCGATATTGATTGGGATTCAAGAGAGGAAGGGAATCGCAGATACAGTAGTGACTGAGTGGTACAACGGGGAAGGTCGTGTTGATATACTTTCCCTCCTTCTAGTGTAACTTCGGAAGGAAAAAGCAAATCCGAGCGTCATGTGGTGCGTGGTGGACGGAGCCGGGGTCGGAGCCGGGTTAGCGCAACGGATAATACAGTTGTTTTTTAATTAAGGTAAGTCTACTTGTAAGGTCAAGTTGATTTACTATTAAATAATGTACCCGTATATTCCGGACTAGTTAAAGAGCTCAGATTCAACAATTGCAGGTTTTGAGGATCTACATCGTAAAATACTTGGAGTAGAGAGCCAATTATAATTATATCTATATACGCTAAGAGGTGGATCCACATGGACTCATGGAGTAACCTGATTGACCCGGCCCGGTCACTTTAGACGCGCCAATCATGATTTAGATAAGAGAGAATCCACCAATTAGTAGTCGTGCAAAATAACTTGTCAGCCTCAGCCTCGGGAGGGATATGCTTTCCCTCTTCACTGCATATCAGACACTTCACATCACTGAGACATTTCCAGATATAACCATCATATTGCTCAGCCGATGCGAATGGCACATGATGAACTCTTCTACCGTACCATGCGGTAGCATCAAGTCAGCCGCACCCTTTTCCGTTTCATTCCATCTATAGACTGAGATCCTTCAGCCTCGGCCACGTCGACTTCTTTAACATTGGAATACTCAGCCCACCTGTTATATGTAAAGCCACATTGATGCCCTCGATACATTTCAACCGCTGCCATGATTGAATCCGACAATGTAGGTGCGGACGTCGAGATGAATACGCGGCTTTTGGACGACGACTCGAAAGAGCAGACAGCAGCTGTTGCCGTGCCTGCTGAATCGCCCAAGGGGTTACGGAAACAGGCGATTGACGTGGCATGTATTATGCTGAATATAACCAGTACAGTTACGCTCGTGTTTTTGAATAAATGGTATGTCTGCGGACGAGGAGAATTACATTTCTCTCTCTGAACCTTACCCCTCCATAAACATGCAAATGCTAATATCTTCAGGATCTTCCGCGACCCCCAATTGAAAAACATGCAGATATGCTTTGCAATGTGGCATTTCACTTGCACATCGATAGTCCTATGGATAGCTAGTCAAACACCCTTCAACCTATTTATCCCCGTCCGCCTACCGTTCCTACAAATGGTACCGTTATGCAGTTTTTTTGCCGGATTTTTGATACTGGGGAACTTGAGCTTGACATACAACTCCATTGGATTTTACCAGTACGTGACGTCTCCCAATTCCTCATATTCAAGCCTTTTTGTCACAGAAGGCTACCTATACTAACATACTCCAGACTAGCGAAAATCATGACCACTCCCTGCGTAGCCCTCCTCCAATACCTCGTCCTCAACAAATCCACATCCCTCCTTACCCTCAGCACTCTCGCAAGCGTGTGCATCGGAGTAGCCCTCACAAACACAGGAGCAGCAGGTACAACGACGCTCGGCGCGTCGATAGCAACTGCTGCATTCACAGTCACCGCATTCTACCAAGTGTGGATCGGGAAGAAGATGAAAGATTTCTTCGTTTCGAGCCCGCAACTACTGCTTAACCAGGCTCCGATCTCCGTGCTGCTGTTGGCGTTCTTGGCGCCGGTTTTGGATACCGTGCCTGATGTGAAGAAGATCCCGAGGGATACGCTTGTGGCGTTGTTTTTGTCTGGTCTTGCTGCTGCTTTGCTGGTAAGATGGACGGTCTTCCATTTCAATCTCCCTCCTGGACACTTGGACACCTGCTGATGTTTTTATTATAGAATTTGTCGCAGTTTTTAATCATTGGACGTATGAGTGCGTTGACTTTTAACGTTGCGTCCAAGTAAGTTATCACACTAGCTAGCTATCTTGTTCGAAAAGACGAAAAGAAGTATCTAACAAGCAATAGCGTCAAAACTGTTATTATCCTCACTTACGGCTGGGCCAGCGAAGGTCGAGTTCTAACTGTAAAAGACGCCCTTGGAATCGTTCTAGCGCTAGGCGGAGCCACGTTTTACTCGCAGCTGTCTCAGAACTAAGAGAGGAAATGTATTGGAAAAAATATGAGTAATTGCAAGGCAATAACTGAATTTACAAATTCATATCTAATCTAAGCCGACCGCTGCACGTAGTGTACTTAATCATACATCTCGATATCAGTTTTCGGACTACCTGTGTTGTCCAGAAACCCCATACGATGTAGGTACCATACCAATTCTAATCCCCAACCTGCATTTCCTTCCAACTCTTTTCTCTGCGTAACCTCAGATGAACCCGCGGATTCGATTCTAATGAATACCGCATATCTTTTCTAAAGCCACCCCAAACCCAATACCCGATTCCCTCCCCATAAGTTCTGTTTCTTATCCCTTGGGTTTGTTCAACATAATATACGAGTATCTGCACCCAAATTAGCAAAGTCTTCATCCACCCCACCGAGTGAAAAAGGAGGGAAACGAAACTTACCCGATAATCCCGCCTACTGTCATGACTACCCCCAACGCACTCTTATCAGCCACACTCCTGCCACCGACCGCCCATCCAATGCCCACAATGCTGACTGTCTTTAGATGTCCCACTACCGTGCTGGAGACTGGGCCACTGCCTGCGACGATGAAGAATTGGCTGATGTTGATTAGCGCTGCGAAGCCTCCAGACCTAGGGTGGGAAGTGAGTTAGCGTTTATTTGGTTTTTGTTGGGTTGGGTTGGATTGGATTGGATTGGATTTTATGCGCTTATGCGAAAGAGGAATTCTACTACGCTAGGTAGATTCTAGGAGAAAGAGCAGGAGGAGGGGGATGAGTGAATAACTTACATCAAAATCATCGCCCATCTGTACCCCGGCACATCACTAAGCACAGGCACCTGATCGACAAGCGGCACAGCGAACATAAGGAGCACGGACGAGATGGGCGCCTGGTTAAGCAGCAGCTGCGAAGACGACATCTGCAGCTTCTTATGATACGCCGCTATCAGCACCGTATACGCACTACTAGCCAACACACCACACAGCGCGAATATAACGCCCAGACTACTCGTCGTCGCGACGACCTTCTCGGCACCGGAGCCAGTAGCCGGGGCAGCGGGTTTCGTGTCGTAGTAGGATGTGATGCCGACGCCGAGACAGACGGGGATGAGGAATAGAGCGGCGGGACGCGGGATCGTGGATGAGTAGAATATGTAGTTTATTATTGCCGTGCTGGGCGTGAGGAGCACGCGGCAGAGTTGGTACACTGTTACGGTGGAGAAGGCGAGGGAGAGGTTGGGGAGGACGACGTTGAGGCACATGGAGAGGGCAAGCTAGTGGGTGTGTGAGTATATAAATATAAATACGTACATATATAAGATTTATGTATAGGAGGAGAAGGGGGTGGATCATGTGACGAATGTATAGAAAGGTGGGGCCTTACAGGTAGCATTTCTACCACGCCGGCTCGTTTCGGTACAAAGGCACCGAAAAAGGGGCGGGATACAATGTAGAGTGTTAAACCGGTACAGATGAAGTGGAAAGAGGCAAAGGAAGTTTGCATTAGTTTGAAAGCGGGGTCGTTGAAGATTGCTTTGTTGGTGAAGACTATGCCGATTGTTGCGGCCATGCTAGAGGAGCCAATCAGCGTTGCATTTTTGGGGGAATGAATGAAAGGGGAGAGGATCCTCATTGCAATTGGGGTAGAGATGAGTATTGGAATACAAATGGTATGTAGGATTCAACATGATGGGACGGCGGATCGGCGGAAAATGTGATAACCTACTTGATACCAGTCCAGATGAGAAACTTCTTGCGCGCAGAAGCCTGGTCCGGGTTGACTGGAGTTTGCGGGACATCTTCATGTCTCTTGTCATCCTGGGCTTCGACGTCCAAAAGAGGAATGCCATGCTCTGAGTCTCCTCGATCGTGAGGCATGTTGTCATGTGATTGATGGCTGACCCCTTTTCTGCAGTGATAGTCTGATACAAGTGGGAGAGGTGTAGTGGTGTATTCCTAGCCCGAAGTGAAGAATGATCTCTGATTCATTAGGCGCACAACTAAATTGTGGTTTATGACGATGTGCTGTTCTGAGAGACTGATCTGATAAGTCTAGATGATAGTGAGGTTTGCTGGTGATTCCCAAGGGATGAAAGGGAAAAAGTTAAATTGTGTTCGAAATCGATACGCGTTTTGAGAAAATGTGGCTTGGCTGGCTTGGCCGGCGACGCGGCTTGATGATCCCTTTTGGGTTCGTTATCGAGGCTCAATTCCCAGAAGCCTCAACCTCACTACAGAGCAATAGGTGGAGATGTGGGTGGTGTGGTATAAAACAGAGCAGCGAGCAGCAAGTACCTAGTATAATTGAACAAATTCTGTTGAGGTGTGGTATGATGACAAGCGCTCCTTTGGAATTTTTCAAATTCGATGAGGGTGAGTAAGCGCGCTCGCTGACAGACGCCGGCGGATCATACTCGTACTGTACTGTGCCACTTTGAGCCAAGATGCAGCTGTCCTGGGGTGTGTTGAGGGAAGTGGAAAGCATCTTTTGAAACGTGACTACTCTTGAAGCTTTTTGCATTTGTTGCAGATTCTATACTTTATATACGAGTACGCGTCCTACTATAGCTATCCATTGGGGTTGCACTGTCTGGAGCACAAAGTCTATCGGATCCAAGTCGTACTTGGAAGTAGGTATGTTAGCAGGAAAGAAGATTGAAATTTATATTTAGTTCTCTTCATATTATCATTCTAATCAAATTACAATCAAATGCTTCCTTCCTTGGAGTTTCATCAAATCCTATGTATACGTACCTCGTACTTGCTGCCGACTAAGATTGGTCGGACCCCTACGAAGCACTGTATCTATCGTTATTTCGTCCAATTAGTGGGGGAGATCCAGCCCTAGCACCAGCCCCTCACTCCACACACTCTTCACAGGTAAAATATCCCTTGCATGAACCTTGCCATCCGTCCAACCAATAGCTTACAAACCCACAAACAGAAAGACCCCTCCATCCTCCCTCCATCCTCTCTTCTCCTCACCGTCTCCCTTGAACATCGTTCCATAGCACCACCACACACACACACACATCGCCTCTTCTAACAGATCCCCTCTACCTCCAATATCTACTACAATGGCTACTAAACCAGTTTATCTCATCTGGGGTGGTGAAGGTTGGGTCGCTGGCCACCTGAAGGCTCTCCTCGAGTCGCAAGGTATGCGCATTCTGCCACTTCAGCCCAGCTCAGGATCAAAGCTTATAATTAAACAGGAAAGGAGGTCCACACCACCACCATCCGCATGCAAAACAGAGAAGCTGTCCTCGCCGAATTGGAGAAAGTCAAGCCCACCCACGTCCTCAACGCTGCTGGATCAACTGGCCGACCAAATGTCGACTGGTGCGAGGACCACAAGGAGGAGACCGTCCGAAACAACGTTATTGGTACCTTGAACTTGGCAGACTGCTGCTTCTTGAAGGGCATCCATATCACCGTCTTCGCAACTGGCTGCATTTACGCCTATGACGAGACTCACCCTATCGGTGGACCAGGATACCTCGAGACGGACAAGGCCAACTTCAACGGCTCCTTCTACTCGGAGACCAAGGCACACGTCGAGGAGGTTAGTAAGAAGACACACATTCTTCCTGCAATGGCTAACAATCCTCTAGATCATGAAGTTCTACTCCAACTGCCTCATCCTCCGCCTTCGTATGCCCGTCAGCGACGATCTCCACTCCCGTAACTTCGTCACCAAGATCGCCAAGTACGATCGTGTTGTCGATATCCCCAACTCCAACACCATCCTCACCGATCTCCTCCCAGCCTCCATCCTCCTGGCTGAGCACAAGGAGACTGGCATCTACAACTTCACCAACCCAGGTGCTATCTCCCACAATGAAGTCCTCGCTTTGTTCAAGGAATTCGTTCGCCCAGAGTTCACCTGGAAGAACTTCACCCTGGATGAGCAAGCCAAGGTCATCAAGGCTGGACGTAGCAACTGCAAGCTGGATACTACCAAGCTGGAGTTGAAGCTCAAGGAGTATGGTTACACTGTTCCTGAGATCCACGAGGCGTACAAGGGATGTTTCCAACGCATGGCCAAGGCTGGTGTGAAATAGATCTCTGGAAAATATAATTGCGCTTAAAAGTCGATCCTTTATCTAGCATCTATATCCGGTCTATCTGATAAATTGAAATTTGGAAAGGAAAAGACCATGAACAAATTTGAAAGTCCCTCGAGTGAAATCTTCTGATACAAGATGGTATGGTGTCTTGTTTCAAGTGGACAATTAGATGAAAGGCCTATTCATAACAGCTGCCCATGTGTAGCAAATTGCACGCGAAAAGTCCTTTGAGAGTTTCTAAATCGCCTATTCAGACTGACTGGTACATTATCATACAGTATCCGATAGGTAGGTATACTTATTATTACGTCAGTGAAAGAGGGGTGATTGACAATAATGAAACAAAATAGTTATATTCCGGGAATGATTGTGTGAATATGATTAGAGCAGATTATTAACTTTCCCATGAATAACAACGGATTATTGTAATATATAATTAGCCTCGCCTCGCCTCGCCTGGCGTCGTCATTCTCATCCCTCTTTTCGCCAAGTGCGACCGTCCGAAAAGCTCAGCCTTACAACCCACCTAGACCATCGTACCGCCAACAACATTACAGAATAGTCCACTCTGCTCTCTACTTCCCATTTGCCACAAAGCAAGACAGCACAATGGTTGTAGATACCGCATATTACGATGCTCTCGGCGTGAAGCCAGATGCTACCGAGCTTGAGATCAAGAGAGCCTATCGAAAGCTTGCCATTGTTACCCATCCAGGTTTCTGCTTCTCTCTCCTCTATATGCTTACCATACTGACCTCCCCCCCAAGACAAAAATCCTGGCGACGACACTGCACATGCGAAATTCCAAGCCATCGGCGAAGCCTATCAAGTCCTCAGCAATACCGACCTGCGCAAACAATATGACAAATTCGGCAAAGACCACGCGCAGCCCTCAGAAGGGTTTGCTGACCCCGCCGAGTTCTTCGGAACCATCTTTGGCGGCGAGGCGTTCATCGATCTTATCGGGGAGATATCACTCATGAAGGACCTTACCAAGACCATGGACATTACGATGCAAGAGCAGGAGCAGGCAGAGGAAGAGGCGGCAGAGGAGTTCCCTGGGGAAGCAGAAGCCAAGCAGACGAGTCTGGCAGAGGAGCAGGCGAGACAAGACTTTGCTGCTGGAGTGGGAGGATCAACAGTACCTGGGGCATCGGTCTCGGATGCACCAGATGCAGACCATCTCTCTACAGCATCAGCTACATTCGAGAAACCCGCTGCTGCCGCCAAACCAGCTGTCAGTCCTTCTGGCTCTGGAACCTCTACTCCACGACGAACGGGCATTCCAATCCGACAAGCCATTATGGACAAGACGGAAGAAGAGGCCCAGATGTCCGCTGCCGGTTTAACACAAGAGGAACAAGATCTCCGGAAGAAGGAAAAGAAGAAGGGCGGTCTCTCGAAAGCACAGCGCGAGGAACTCGCTGCGTATGAAACGGAGCGCGCAAAGATCCGCAAGGAGAGAGTAGATACCCTGGCCAAGAAACTCGTGGATCGGATTAGCATATGGACGGAAACCGACAAGGGTCCAGACGTCACAAAAGCCTTTCAAGAAAAGACCCGTCTCGAGGTTGAGAATCTAAAGATGGAGTCGTTCGGTCTTGATATCTTGCACGCTATAGGTCAAACATATTTACAGAAATCCACCGCTCTTCTAAAATCCCAGAAATTCCTGGGCATTGGAGGCTTCTTCTCGAGATTGAAGGATAAGGGAACGCTAGCAAAGGAGACTTGGAACACAATATCAAGCGCAATTGATGCGCAGATGACGATGGAGGAGATGGCCAAGGCCGAGGAGAAAGGCGGGGAGGAGTGGACGGATGAGAAGAAGAACGAGTATGAGAGGCGCGTGACGGGCAAGATCCTTACTGCAGCTTGGAGGGGAAGCAAGTTTGAGATTCAGAGCGTGTTGAGGGATGTGTGTGATGAGATTCTGAATGACAAGAAGGTGCCCATGTCGAAGCGGTTGGAAAGGGCGCAGGCGCTGGTTATTTCGGGGGAGATCTATGCCAAGGTAATTACCTCTTTCCTTCCCTTCTTACTTTACCTAAGAGCTTCCCCCCTTTCCCCACTGACCCTTCGCAATCTTTACTAACAACCGAAAAGGCACAACGTAACCCGGAAGAAGAAGGCGACTACATGGCCTTTGAACAACTGGTCGCCGAAGCAGCAGCCAAGAAAGAAAAGGGAAAAGATAAAAAGGGGAAGGATGCCCATAAGAAAGAGACAACTGCTGCTCATGAAGTAGCTGCTGACGTGCCGAATGTGCCAAAGGTTTGAACGAGCGTGTATGTGGGGGCTGGGGGTGAGAGATTGTGCTTGCTTGGTTATCAAGATACCCCCAGGGGTATCAGGGAGAGGGAGGATGGACCTCGAGTGAAGTGCTTGCTTTTTAGAGAACATCTTACCGCATAGACAGGAAGGGGGGTGGGGAGATGGAGTAATACAGTACACACATCCCTCACGTTTTCATACATGCCATGCATGAGGTTTAGGATGAAGCAGTAGGTAGCGAGGAACTTTGATAGCTAGGTAGTTTAAACTCGGGGGTTATATCAATCCAATTTCAATTTCATTGACGTCTCCTTATTTATATCCCACCCAGCCTAAACGACTTTCTCTTTCCCTGCCTGGTGCTTAAAAATCAGTCTGATTACACACTGACATGTCTATGCTCTGCTCGAACTTTCAATCAATCAATCAAACTCCCAAGCCTGCGTCATAGGCTCTCCATATCCCATTGATTTTCTCGTAGCCTTCCCCTTGCTCTCTCCACTTGCATCTACTTTTGCACTTCCACTTGCACTTCCACATGCCACTCCCTTCCCACGCGCTGATCCCGGCGTACTACTCCTACTGGTCAAATGGCCGCCTTTGTTTTGTTTCTTGAGGTAGGCGCGGAAATTGGATACGGATACGGGTTTCGGGCCGGGGGTTTGGAGCTGTGGGGTGCTGGAATGCGTTGGGGTTTGGTTGCGGGATTGGGGGGTTCGTGGGGTGTTGGTCTTGGTGTCGGGGTTTGGGTTTGGGTTTTGGAGGGGTTGCTGGGGTG